TACCATATTATTATTAAAGTTTCACATATTACCTTTTCTATTATTATTATTACATTTAATTTTATTATTACTATGTTTATTATTATTATTATTACAGAGTATAATAATAATTATTATTATTATTACACGGTACCATAATAATTAATAATAACTGTAAAAGAAAACTGAGAGAGTAAATATTTATGAAATTACCATATACAGACCCTCTACCTTTTACACGTACCATTTCAAGTTTTAGCACTTACCCTCTGCTTTTAACACTTATTATTTCAAGTTTTAGATCTTACCTTTCGTTACCTTTTCTATTATTATTATTACATTTATTATTATTATTATTATTATTATTATTTTCATTACATGGTAACATAATAATTAATAATTAATAAAACTTATAAAAGAAAAGTGTGAGAGTAATGAATTATGAAATTGCCTTTTACACGACACCTGCATTTTAAACTTATCATTTCAAGTTTTAGCACTAACCTTTTGTGGCTTAGACGGGAAAATACAATGATGAATTTCCCTCTTTTTAAATATTATATACACCCACAGAGAGTCTCGCCGCCTAATGGCCGAGATAATATGAGATGGAAGGGAATTCAAAGTACCGCCTAATGGCCGATTGCCGCCAATCGCCATTACCGCTGGGTGATTGTGTCATTGTTCATATATTGAAGATGATGAAAAATCAACACTGGCGGCGCAATCCTCGAAGAAGGGAACGGAGCGCGCGCTCACACAGACACACACACAAATGTATAACCTTGGAGGTTATGTTAGTTTATTATTTTTATTTTGGGTAAATTTTAGTCATGGTAAGTGATGTGTACGCCTAATATAATCAACATTCCACGTCGGATTATAACCAATAATTAACTTGGAGACGGGTGAATGAACTTTTAGTGAAAGAATGATGTAAGTTGAGGTATTTTTATGAAAGGTTTTAAAGTTCAAGTACCAAATCAAAATTCTCGCGAAAGTTTAGATACCATTGATGAAATTTACCTCCACACTTATAGAGATTGTGATTCGCTTCTTCCCATAATAGCCCTTTCCGACTAAAATTTAAAGAACTAAAGTTTGTTGAAATGAAAAATAAATTTAGTGCTTTCATGAATAATTGACTTCAAACTACCAGACTGAAAATAAAAAAAGCTGGAAAAAAACATCCAACATTGGTAGTATTTACACTAAGATTGTTAAGAGTATCCCACATCGGAAAAGTTTGAGGAAAATAATCGGTATATAAGCTCTTGAGTTGAACTAACTAATCGATTGAATTATATCAAAGATTGTACGTAAATAAGTCCAAGTAAATTAGCACAGATTTACATTCAGATTCGACTTGTTTTTATTAAAACGGTCCGGGCCAGAACGGGTTTTCAAAATTTTAAAATTGAAACCGGACCTAACCCGGCTTGTTTGAAACGGGCCGATTCCACGGGTCAATGGGTCCGAACCTATCATGATACTAATATTAAAAAAAATAAATTGATAATAAATTAATAATACATACATGGTCATTCACCATTAGTCCACAACAATCTACAACCCCCATTATCAATTTTAAGTCATCCAACACAAAAAAGAGGTCTAAATGAAGACAAAACAATGACAAAGAGGGGTAAGAGTGTAACTCGTAAGAGCGTTGTTCCTGGTGTAATTACTAATAATAATACTATACGGAGTAGTAAAAAGCGGTCCGGTCTGGGTCCTGGACAATTTCAAAATGGAGAATTGGACCGACCCTAAAACCTATAAGGACCGGACTGACCCTGCCCGTTATAAATATTTGAAAAGAGGACCCGCCTCTAACCCGAGCCGAACCTGTCGGTTCGGTTCTAAGTCCCGGTTCCTTGACCCGTTTGCCCATCCCTAGTTGTGAATGGGTTCAACATTGATAGAATTGAATAATTGTAATTAACAAGAAGCTCAACTAAATCTCAACTAAGTATTTGGCTGAACATTGATAGAATAATTGTATTACGATACGATTGTGAATGGGACAAATTTGGCAATTTACTATCACCAATGATGGAAAAAAAACTTAAGAGCCAAAACTTGTTTTTTAGACAAAAAAAATTATACAGTAGGACATGAGTTAGAAAAAGTTTTCAACTTGAATTTGTGTTCCGTTTTCCTACTCATATCTTTACGAATCTCATTTTATATAAGCTACAAGTATATATTTTGACACCAATTTTGAATGTCACACTATATATGAGCCTTTGGTCTTACAATACTCGTTGGGATTCAAAGTGAGTCTTTTAATTTCCCCTTTACTCCACAAAATCCTCGGACGCGACGGCCCTCTGAAACAACTCATTTGTGGTTGTGTCATTGTACTAAATTCTAAGGACAAGACGAGTCAAGGGTATGACACACTTTCTGAGCAACGAAATATCGTACAACCTCTAAACAAGCGTGAGCCAAACTGAGTGCCAAAAAAACCTAGTTGTTTCACAAAACAAAAGACGACGACAACAACGACAACAAGACAACAAAGAACGAAAGAGCGATCGAGTGCTTCGCTCCTCGAGGAGCGTGGCCGTAGCCGATATAGTTGGCGATCTGAATGCCGCCGTCGACCTTGTCAGCGGTGAGAATCTCGATCGGGAAACGACAAGTGCCGACGGAGGGATCACGCGGCGTGAGGACGCCCAAGCCGGAGAAGTCGCATGCGCCGTTGTCGATCTCCTGGTTGTTGGTCTGGTAGAACATGTTGAAGGCGTAGGAGACGTTCCAGGTGTGGTTGAGGTTGCCGCAGGTGGAGTAGTGGTTGAGGGCGGTGCAGTCGGAGGCGCTGCATGNCATGCTAGCTCCACTTGCTCCGCCACTTTCGTGGCGTTGCTGGTGCCGCCGTTGAACACGCACCACCGTGAAGGCATTTTCACCGTCCCTAGTTTAATTAAGAATGCATGCCAATTAATCATCATTAATTAAATAAAATCAATAAAATATCTTTTATTGGATAAGTCTAATTTAATTGATTTTGGTAATTTTATAATAAACGTACTGAAATTTGCACTAAATAGGAATAAAACACAAGTCATTTTTTAGTGTAGGTCTAAAACTTTTTTATTCCTTAAATAGGACTTAATAATGTATAGTGGAAGGAATAATGTCCAGGGTGGACATTATTTTAATTATTTCTGTATTGTATTTCAATAAAATAATTTTAAAAATTGTTTTATTTGATAAATCTAATTTTATTATTTTTTGGTAATTTTATCATAAATCTAAACTTGAATTTTTGATAATAATCTGGATAATTTTTAGTTAATCGATGATTAAAGTTTAACAAGTTTAATTTGTTAAAATATAAATAACTGTTCGTGGGCCACAACCACAAACTTGAGCTTTTGGTTGAATTGGTTCTTTGACATGGTTTCAGAGCCTCGTTGACTAAGAGGTCACGGGCTCGAAACTCAGCGCCACCCAATTTAAAAAGAATTAAGGTTTCACGTACAAACTCGAAAAATACTACGCCTGCACGTGAGGGGGCGTGTTAGAGTATACAGAGTAAATAACTGTTACTGGGCCACAACCACAAACTTGAGCTTTTGGTTGAATCGATTCCTTGACAAAGTTAGTACGCTTGGATGAAATTGAATACTCCCTCCGTCCTATAATGATCTTCCCAGAGCACTATTCCAACTTCACGGGAATTTATATTTATTTGTGTTTTTTCATGGCCTATATGATAAAATAAAATATTCTTGTCACCACGTGTTTTGTTGAACTTTTAGTGTAGTTTTTAAATATGTATGTTTTATTTTTTATTTCTATACCAATATTTAAATAAAATAGATTGAAAAAACTTGGGATTTTTCTTCGTTTTGCGAACCGGGAAGATCATTATAGGACGGAGGGAGTATTAACTTATACTCCCTCCGTCCACCTAAAATCTTCCCGTTGCGCGTTACGAGGCTTGACCGACTTTATTTTCAATTTAATTTATTTGAATATAGGGGTAAAAGTTTATTATAAAATCTATATAGTAATAAACTAGATGAAAAGTTCTACAAAACTAGAGATGACAACACTATACAGAGTATTATTTTATGAAATAAGTAGTAAAAATAAACAAATAAAGTAAGCTAAGTTTGACCCTGTAAATAGTGTCTGGGAAAATCTATGGTGGACAGATGAAGTATAAAATAATACGGAGTACATCATATGTTTTACAATACTTTTTGATTTTATATTTTTAGATTATTTGGCGTCTCATTTTGATATAAAAATATTAAAAATCCTATTTTAATACTCCCTTCGTTTGGAAAAACACTTCCTATTTGGATTTGGAGCAAAAATAAGGAAGTGTTAAATTATAGTTGATTTCTGATTTTGCCTCTGATGTGATGGGTAAAAGTAAGATGTGATGGATAGATTATTAGAGAAAAAGTATGATGTGATATGTAGGGTATGAAAAAGTAAGGGTAAAAGTTGTTTTTTAATTGAAAAGGGAAGTGTTTTGTTGGAAGTGGAAAAAATGAAAGAGGAAGTGTTTTTGAGAACGGAGGGAGTATATTAATTAATTAATTATGTTTAAGTTCTTATTAGACATTTCTCCCATTTTATAAACTTCATAGGTCAATAATGATATGATAGTTCCTCTCTTCCCCCCCCAATTCATTACACTTGTCTTTTTGTTTGTCACATTTGATTCTTTACCATTCTTTTTCCTTTTAACTTTGCATCACATTAAATCTATACCTCATCTCTATTTTTAAACACACTTTTTTTTCCTTCTACTTTATATCCACACTATCATTTTTAAATTCATGTTTAAAAAATGGTAAATAAATAGAAATATTTGCATTAAATAGCACTAAAACTTAAGTCATTTCTCTAAATAGTATTTAAATTGTTTTATTTCTTAAATGGTACTTGATAATATCCATAATGACCAGTTGTGGCGAACAATTAATTGAATAATGACTAATGGATAATGACTAAAAGTGCTACATTAGAAAAAAACACATATAGTACTATTTAAGGAAAATCATTATGTTTTAGTGGTATTTACATAAATTTCTCAAATAAATATATATGCATGCCTTTGGCGGTAGAAGGGTAGATGTCCCGTCCTTGACCAGTGAAGTCAATCTTATACTTTGGCGCCCCGTCAAAATTGTATATACCCTTGTGCCGATAATACGCTCCCATCAATGGCGGGTATTTGTTCTCGTCCGTCAACGTTCCAATGAACACGTCGATGTTTTGGTTCGGCCGCCGAGGCGTCCCCTTTTTCTGCTTGATGTGTCTGAGGAACCCACGGTGGAAGCGCTCTGCGTTCTCCACCGTGGCGTGCTTCATGCCGTCAGTGGGCCACCCGATCTCCCCTATCTCGATCTCCACATCCGAGAACCCCACTTTCTCCATCGCCACGACCAGCGCGTCGTACATGAACTCGAACGCATTCCTGTACGTGTACGACCCGTCGACGATTGCGAAGGAGGAGTTGTTGTCCATGAAGGCGAATTCCACGGGCCAACTGTTGACCTCCGCGGCGACGAGGGGGTAGAGGTTGTAGAGGTAGAAGGAGTTGTTGGTCTGATGGAGCAGTGTCAAGAACTCCTTCATTTTGGGCTTCACGTCGTCGATGAAGTCTGCCTCCGACGGCTTTCCGACAACTTTTAGGATGTCGATGGTGTGGGACGAGGTCGTCCTCAAGTGGGACAACCCGTTGTTCTTTAGACAATTCACTGTCTCTCTGAAGATATCGGTTGCGTTCCATATGGGTTGACGCTTCCCCGTCGACGAATATGCATCTTCTAAGACCACCAATGTCCTGCAACAAACAATTTACGCCCTTATACGGAGTGAAACCATTTGCAAGTAATGAGATTTGTCTCATCTCAATCGATTGTATGGGTAACAAATGAGAGTGTTAGAAAATGGTTTTTAGTCTATAGATCACATACAAATGTTTCATATTATATATCACATCTTCATTTACAACCCTATTTACATTGGTTATATGAAAACATATGAGGGGCTTCATAAATACCAAATGAGATCTCTCACCTAATAGACTAATCTTTTGGGAGGAGTTTTCTTGTTTGCTCTCTAACATGGCCTCATCACACTAACCCTTTCTTATTTATTTTTAAGTTATCAAGAAAATTAAAATGATCATCGAAGCAATACATACGTAATGTTTACGCCTCTCCTAATAGGGACGACGAGAAGTTCAGCAACCCAATCGTTGATGGTCTTAATATTGTTCCATTTCATACGTCTGATGAAATCGTTCTGGAGGGCGACGGTGACGCCTAAGGAAGAACCTTGGAGGGCCTCCATGACATTGACGGAAGGTGCAGATAGTCGTATATCGGTCAACCCATTTTGGAGAAGCAAATCCACCACCATTGATGGCACCAAACTTTGCGTCGAAAATCTCCCCCAATATATCCCCACGAACCCCTTCGCTCTCCTGATACCTCCTCCTCCGGCCACCATTACCAACAACAGTAATATTATTCCCACCTTGCCGTTGTTCATTTCTCCCCCGCCTTGCAATTAATCAATCTTTAACGTTACGTGCCTCAATTTAGTTCCAGCCTTAAGGCACGAACGTTATAGATAGATTAATGGCAATCAAACGAAAGAAAACTTACTATTTGTCATGTGAGATTATATGTTTATCAAGATTGGCTCGGGCTTTTGCATGCATGCACTGAGGCATACATGCAAAGTTCTAGGCAAGGAGCCAAAAAAGTTTTGTGTGAAATGAAAACAAACAATCAAGAGATGAAAGTATGGTTTAATTTGTTTGTTATGGAGGGTAAAGAGTTCCCTCCTAAGCCTCCAATATTTGGTTAACGAGAGTATAAGATGGGAATTTGGTGGATGGAGATGATCCAACAATTCATGCATGTTGGTGTGTGTACGGTGGATGTAGGACATTATTTCTCGAGGCACAGGTATAATTAGCATATTTTTATTAAAAAAATATTATCTCCTTATCTCCTTCTCAAATTAAGAAAAATAGAATTGTATAATTAGAAATGATGCAAAAGAAAGAGAAACAATAGCAGCGACAAAACCTTCTCATTTGAATTAATGTGTGGAATTATTATTCCTTAACAATTCAAAAATGAAATGAGAACTATCATGTTGGGGCAAAGATAGTGTTATTATAAGGAAAATGTTGTTCGTACGAGTTACAAGGTACTTAATTTGATAGATATATATATATATATATATATATATATATATATATATATATATATATATATATATATATATATATATATATATATATATATATATATATATATATATATATATATAACACTTTAGACCACGTTATGCAACATTTTCAACATTTAGCTTTAAGATTTGGAAAATGTTATCTAACACTAGCGTTAGTTTTAACATATTAAAAATTAATCTACATCATTAAAAATATGTCCAAAATAATAATGATGTTGATTAAAAAGGTTATCAAAAACATGGACTTAATTAGGTACACATTTTTAGCGTCTGGCCACATATCTAAAGGACAATCTAACTTCTTATTTGAATGAGGGCAAAGATCACACATATCATTGTCTACAAATAATCCATGAGACTTGTAAGCCTACCGCAACAACGTCATTGCCCTTTCCGACTAAAATTTAAAGAACTAGAGTGTGTTGAAGTGAAAAATAAACTTAGTGTTTTAATGAATTGAATTAAAACTACCAGACTGAAAATAAAAAAGTTGGAAAAAAACACCCACATTGCTAGTATTTACACTAGGATTGTAATTAAGTCCAAGTAAATTAGGACAGATTTACATTCAGACATACTAATATTGTTGTCCAAGTTTCTAAAAAGTATCAGTCTAAAACAACCCCGACCGAAAACAGTATAAATATCTAGAGTGTTACAATACAAATTTCAGTGATAAACCAGAAGTAAAACTACAGTCTACACTCACAGACAGGCCTGAAGCAAATGCTGAAGATGGGTGCTCTATGATTCCTTGCATAATGAAACCATCCCCTGAAAATCAGATTACAGAAGTGTTCTGTTAGTAGAGGCACGCGCGAAAAAGTTTTTTTTAACCAAATGAAGTTCAAATATTCCTTTGAGTTGAACGAAAAAAGAAAGAAAGAAAGGTTACTGTTAGGTTGCTGGCCGAGTTTTCAGGTATGCAAATAATTAGCTGCCATCATCAATTCCAAAGTGAGTTCGGGCTCTATAGGAAACTCGGTCTCTTTCCCCCTGTGATTAATGAAAGAGTTTCAGCCAATATATCAATATAGGTGCCCTGGTACCCAGCTTCAAGCATTGGAACATATATGGGAGCAAATAGAACAACTATGCCAATGGGACAGAGCCAGTTTATTTTGGCATGCACTTAAAATAACAATAGGGAAACCACTGATGTGAAACAACGAAAAAAATATATTAAAGAATATTAATAGTATTTATAAAGATGACAGAACAAAAGGAAAGAACTCATGAAAAATGAACACGTTATTGATTTTGCTGTCTATGAAGACAACAACAAAAACAAAAACAGAATAGAAACATAACCATGCAATAACAAGTTAGAGATATAGATCTCAATGAAATGCATAGCCAAATCTATCCTCCTTACTTTAAATGTACAATTTATCACATGAACCAATCTCCTCAGCATAGAGAAGTCTCCCCATAAAGAAGTAAACTAGTTACGAAAACCATCATTGCAAGATATCTGAGTCAGCATGTGAGAATCTCTTGGACTAGTGCAGAAAGCTCCATAACCATGTCATTTTTTTCCCGGAAAATTTTTAATATTAACACATCTTCGTATTTAAACAAGCTGGTGTTAGGCCTTGAACTGATGACCTTAAGAGTGTGGCCAAGGTTTCAATTCAAATATATAAGAGATACTCAATCCATTTCAAAATAAAGCTACGGGTTTGACTTGACATACATCCTATGAAAAATAAAATAGTATCCTTGAGATTTGATTCAATGAGGAAAATATAAGAACCAAATATTCTTTTTTAAACAAAACTTAATGACAGAAAAAGGAAAACTGAAGTGTTCTTTTGGGACCGAGGGAGTAAGTGAACATAGACAATGCAGTTAGGAAGGGACTTGTGATGTAAAATTCAGTTCTTTCAATTCATTGTATTTTAAAACTGTTATGAAAATTAAAAGAAAAACTTACATATTCAAAAGCTACATCAAATGTTCTACAAACAAGAAGTGACACGACAATGTTATTTTATCAAATGATCAATAAAAACACATAAATAACAAAAGTTATCATGATCCTACTATAATACTCTGCAGTAACCGAGAATTTTATCAGTAGTAACCGAAGATTTTATTTGGGGACGAAGTGAGTTTAAGTAATTGGCAAACGAAAATCTGCAGACTAAAAATCAGTTGTGCCAATGTAGCAATGCAATCGCAAATGCAACCTCAAGATTAGAAGAAGAAAAAAGATCTTTGATCGAATGAAAATCTTGACATAAAAAAAGACCTTGCATATTGAAGGTGCCAATAGAAGTACTGGCAGATCTTCTCGAGAATAGTGGTACTAATCTCAGGAAAAGTCACTTCTCTGTGCTCTGTCTCCGCGAAACCTCCTGCAAAAAAACACACAAATCAATCAAGTTTGGACCAATTAATTGCAATAAATTCAGAAATAAATCTGTCGGATCAGTTGAGCAATCGGATACAAGTTAATACTGTAATATCCTGAGTTTAACTATCTAACCCAAAATTGCTAATCATGATTTGGCTCAATCATCTGAGAAGACGAGCAATCTAAAAAAAACTGTTGAAATCGATGAGAATGAAATCCCACAATATACGACAGAGACGAATTTAAACGGAGATGAAGAAGAATCCAACCAGGAGAAGTGAGCATGTTGCGGATGGTCTGAGAAACCATAGCCGCCTCCTTATCGATCAAGAATTCGAAACCCTCGGCGCTGATTAGCTTCACTGTATCTTCCTTCTTCATCTCCGATCGCCGCTTTCCTATAATTGCAGCGTGAGAGACTCGGAGATCAGAAATTCAGAAAAGAAACAAAAAGTACAGAGTATGATCAGAGCTCGGGTCGGTTAGGTCTTTTTGATACTTCTTTTTTAACAATTAAAATACCACAACTATTCCCACTTACTTTATTTATTACACCTCACCCACCTCATTTAATACACTCCACCCATTTTTCATTAAGGGTATTATGGTAAACTTTGACCTTTTTTCAACTCTCCTTAAAAACCACCAAAAGTCAAAATGAGAACATCTTAGGGAGACGGAGTAAGTATACCAGTAGGATAGTAGGATACGGAGTAGTAGAGAAATTAAAAAATTAGCCCCCATAGGTTGATAACTTGAATCTTGTATTCCCTCATATTCTTGGTCGACTGAGTCACAATGATCTACTTCCTCCACCATCACTGTCGGGCAAGGGGGTGGAGGTGCCTGGTGTGGGCGATTCCACCTTTTGAACCGAGAAATTAAAAAATTAAAATTTATTTATAATTTTTAAAATATTTTAAAATTAAAAATAAGTACGAAGTATAATACTCCCCTTATTTTTTATACTCCGTAATAACAAAATTACTCGGTTCAAAGCATGCTCTCCCCTTATTTTTTAAAATACTTTCTCTTTACTATTATCGTCCTCTTGATAATATTTGTTTATATGTTACGGAGTATTTTTAAATTATTTGATAAAATAAAGTATTTTTGTCATTACTTAGAAAAGTTTTTTATGTATCTTTTAAATATGTAATCTTGTATTTTATTTTTGAACCAATTTGCAAAGAAAATCATTAAAAAATCCCGTTTACATGTAAAGACGAAAGATGGAATGCTTTAAATTGGAAATTAAAAAGAATATATTGTTTTTTAAATTAACTATGTATTTTAAACAAAAAATTAATAAAATACTTTAGTTCTTTAAAAAAATATATAAAGATTAAATAACATTTTTAAAGCAATAAAATAATTTTTTGGTTTCAAAATTCTTTTGTTATAATGAAAATATAAATAATTGTATTTTTATGAAAACTAGGATACTAATTATTTAACATAAAAATTTGAAAGATTTTATTGAAATATAATAAAATAAAAGTTACTCAATGTAAAGTTCAATAATATGGAACTTGTGAGTTCTTAACATAAAATATGAGATATCCCAGAGTAAATATTTTGGTCTTTGATTGGTCAAAGTAATTGAGCTCTCGATCCTTATGACCAAATAGATGGAATGTGCTTCGGAGTACAATAACACGAATTTTAAGTATTCATTAAGTATGTTTATTTTAGATAATGTGAAACTTGTCATGTTTTCTTCACATGATTTGAATGGTTTTGATCAGATTTGAATGAACTCGGAGGTTATATATGAGTAATAAACTATGAAAACATCAAAATAAAACTATTAAGTTTTTTAAGATCAAAACATGAGTTTACACTAACATTTCTATACTGCTACACTCGTCACATTGTCGCGTTGGAACTACCACAATATCACTAATACACTTACATTAGTTGCATATGTTGACGGGTCATTAGAGTGCTGCCGGTAGTTGATTAACCATAAAATCATATTATAATGTCTATTACTTTTTCTATCATATTGACAATGCCTACTCTTACATTACAATATCAATTACTCTAATTTTGATTTTTAAAAGGTAAAATTTATATCTTGATATTTTCTTATGGTTTTTTTAGGTCGAGTGAGATTTCTAAAAAAAGAAAAAAGAAAAATGCTAGGAGTACATCAAAGGTGTACCCCATTTGTCCTCCACCCCTCCATCACCATACAAAAAGGCAAGAAACTAAAACAAAATTAAATAAATAAAAATAAAATAAAATTGAAGGGTAGATAAAAGGGTACGTGTACCCCTACTCAAGAAAAAAAACTGCTCTAAGGTGTTAGTTGTGTGGGTGTGGCCTCTCTCATCCTCCACCTACAGATTTATCCAAATCTCCGCTGACTCATGAAGAAGCGGGACTGACCTCTCACGACAGAATCAATGGCGAATTCGTTAATCTCATCGCAGTCGTATCTCGGAACACCTTTTCCGTCCTCCCCCAGACATGGCAGCTTTCCGCGCCGTCGACTTCTATCCACCCGAGTCAAACTCAGCTTCCACGAGCTCCCTCCGGTTCACTCACTCCACTCTTCTATGGATTTCGGAACCATTTTTACTCGAGCAGAGAGTTTTCTGTATACAATTGCCGATGCCGCCGTCTCTACTGATGCTGTCACAGGTGGCGTGGCTTCAGAAGCCGCCGTTCCTGAGAAAAACAATGGTTGGTTCGGATTTATTTCAGACTCCATGGAGTTTGTGCTGAAGGTAACTTATAGATTTAGCTGGATTCAATTTTCGTTTTCATTTTGTATATTTTCCATTGTTTGAATAGCTTATGACTATTTGGTTATGCCGTTGAGGAATGATCTGTCTTCGTTTGGTTTTGTCATTATGAAACTGATCGAAGGCCATAGGAATGCTCTATGCTATATTGTCAATTCCATTTTGAACTTAATATCTGTACATCACCATTTCAGTTTGAGTTATTGAGCTTGCCACTGTACTTGCCATTTCACAGGCTCAGGGCAATGCCATTTGCAGTTTAACAGATTGGTAACTGGGGAAATTTGAAAAGGGTCATAATCTAAGATCGAAGAAAGTGGACTGACCTTAAATTTCAGTAATTAAATCTCACTTGTGATTTGTGAACAAAAAGAACAAAAAAATAATAATATTTGGCATTTAGATGAGACTTTTACACTAATCTTATTGTCTTTATGTACAAGAATGATACAGTAAATTAGTAATATAGTTAGCTGCCTATTATACGCATCAAGTTTCTTTGTGTTAAGAGATACAGAGTATACAACCATCTCAAGATGTATACTCACTGTTGGCTCTCATGTGTACCTATGTACAAAAGCAGATATCAGTGAACATGAGATGATATGATGATACACCCTCCCTTCTCTTATCAGGTACTAAAGAGTGGGCTTGATGCTGTGCATGTTCCATATTCTTATGGATTTGCCATTATATTGCTTACGGTTATTGTAAAAGCTGCTACACTTCCGCTGACAAAGCAACAGGTGTGCTTTTGTTGTTGCTGGTATTTAATTCATATGCTCCCTCTGTCAGCAAATGAACGTGACAGTTTAACAGCACGGAAATTAAGAAAAGTGTTGAAAAGCGGGTGAAAAGTGAAAAGTGTGGTTGAATTTTAGTTGGAAGAGAGAGAATCAATGATTTCCACACCTATGTTTCCTAAAAGAGAATGGAGAAGTGTAAAGTAGATTTTTAGACATCCAAAAAGGAAAGTGAAAAGTTCTTTCAATGACGGAGGGAGTATATGTGAACTGTTAAGAGCCTGTAATCACTATCAATGAAAACTAAAAGTGTGTAGTAACTATTGAATGATTAATTCAATTGTCTTTGTCATCTGCGAAAGGTTGAATCAACAATGGCAATGCAAAGTCTCCAACCAAAAATCAAAGCAATTCAACAGAGATATGCTGGAAACCAGGTGAGCTATTTTTCATATAGTCTCCTTGTCCAATTTTGCAGACGGGCATTGGTCTTTTGGTATTATTTCTTGTAGTTTTATTTTCCTGGGAGATGCATGGAATCATTAAAATTCTTGCAGCATATAGAGTTTTTGATCGTACTTGTTTTCACAAATTAAAATATACTCAGAGATTATTTATACAGACTAGAATAAATGTTTATGACCTAGCTTGTGAAAAATTGATGACTGAATTCTGAAACTGTGGTGACTGGCGAGTGCCACACTTTTTATTTAAATATGGGAAAATAACATATTTATTAGTTTCTCTTTAGGAAAGAATACAGCTTGAGACTTCACGCTTGTATCGTCAGGCAGGTTTCAATCCTCTGGCAGGTAAACCTAGATCTTGAGAATGCAATGTTTGCTTCCGAAGGAATCATGACACGCACTAATTTGATATGAATCTATCCTCTACTATTACATGTATGAACTTTAACATGAATATGGTTTACTTATCAAATTAACAGGATGCTTACCAACATTGGCTACAATACCCGTATGGATAGGATTGTATCAAGCTTTATCAAATGTGGCAAACGCGGTATCAAAAGAAGTTGATATAAAAAATTAGTGTTACTAGCTTCCCGAGAAAATTTCATTTACTAATCATTAATGTAATATTTTTAACCTGGAAAGGGACTGCTTACAGAAGGTTTCTTATGGATTCCCTCTTTGGGAGGCCCAACTACAATAGCTGCTCGACAGAGTGGAGCTGCGATTTCTTGGCTCTTCCCATTCGTGGTAATAATACTCATAATAGTTCTGGCTAACAAAATGATATGCTAATCATCGTACAATACTCCCTTGACCCACAACCCTCAATATTTAAGAGCCCCAAAACTGTCATCTACCATAACTTTATTAATATTAGTAACTTATCTATGGCATACTAGATACATTAATGTTGAACTCAATTTAAAAGAAGGTGAAATCAGAATTTTACCCATTTACTTAATTCTCCAGGCTCTATAACAAGTGCTGTGCTAAATAAGTAAATCCATATATTTGCTACAGGATGGGTATTTACATTTTAGAAACTGCATTTTTTTGGTTTGTATTCATTTAACTATACAAGTTTTCACTCAATGTGCACATTCCTTAAGAAAAAAATTTAATGATCTGAAGGGTGTGTACTACAAGCCATATGTAATATTTAAATTATTGTATTAATATTGTAACATCCATCAATCAGGATGGGCATCCACCTCTAGGCTGGCAAGACACTGCAGCTTACCTTGTACTACCTATACTCTTGGTGGTCTCTCAGTATGTTTCAATGGAGGTAATGAAGCCTCCCCAGGTAAGAGTTGATTCCATCTTCAATCTCTTGTCTGCTTCCTTTGTGTGTGCGTGTGTGTGTTATAGTCTGAAAATGTTGCCTGTTGTTGGTAGACAGATGATCCAACTCAAAAGAACACGCTTCTTATCTTCAAGTTTCTTCCACTTATGATTGGTTACTTTTCACTGTCTGTCCCATCTGGTTTAACAATTTATTGGTAATCTCTCAATCTCTGGTTTTATCTGCTACAAACATATTTATTGCTACTTTCAATAGTTCATCCATTCTTTATGTGATGATGGATCCACACATAGTTGGCTAACTGTCCAGGGGGGATACATTTGTAAATGTGGAAACCTTACTGTTATTACAACAAACCAGTATAATCCCAAGTTCCCAATTACATTGGGGTCGTGGGAGTTAAGATGTAGTCAGCCTTTCCCGTGTAAAAAACAGAGACTGTTTCCATTAGACCCTTGATGCATTGCAGTATTTACTACCCAAAACCTCAGAGAAAGTAAGAAGCAATGAAAGTTTAATGTGCCATTTTGATTTAATTCATTTTCAACTTGAAACTCAAACAATGGCAATTCTGACTGTTATTGTTATTTTGTAACTAAATTTCATACGGAATATATCTTAGAATATTAAACCTTTGACCCAAATATTGTTTTCCACATATAGTCCCAAAGGATTGATCAGAGAATACCTTCCAAATATCAAGGACCACAAATGTAATATCGTAGAATTGGGGATTATATATGGAAAACTCTTGTTATAAAGGACCCTTTATGGAATTTACTTTATTTTTTAACTTGTCTAATTTTCATGTTTGGAATACAACAACAACAACCCAGTTGGATCCCACTACAGTAGGGTCTGGGGAGGGTGTGTGTACGCAGACCTTGCCCCTACTTGGAAGCAGGGAGGCTGTTTCCAAGAGACCCCCGGCTCAACCTGCACAAAAAATATGATAGGGTATACAGTATAGCATGGATAAAATACCAAGTACAATGAAAAGAAAGTTCTACAAGCATTAATAGAAGATTCCAATCAAACACAACACACTACAAAAAACCTCTATAACACCGAGTTCCTAACCAGCTACTCTAATCTTAGTTCTCCAAAGGTTCCTATCTAAAGCCATATCCTCAGTCAGGGTGAGAAGTCCTAAATCCTGTCCTAAATCATGTTTGGAATATAGCATATAATTAGCCGACCCCACCTAGTGGGATAAGGCTTTCTTGTTGTTGTTGGAATATAGCATATAATCTCTATGGTCTGATCTGTTTTATATGGTGTGTCTTATCTGATCGATGACATTAAGAATAAGAAATAAGCAAAAAAAAGTTGTGGAGAACAGCACCATAATATGTAAATGCTTGGTTATATTTTGTAATAAATTGATAGTCTTTTAAATGAAAGTATGTTGATTTTATGCGTTTCCACTTTACTCAAGGTTCACTAATAATGTGTTGACCACCGCACAACAAGTATGGTTACGCAAACTAGGCAGTGCGAAACCTGTTGTTGCTGAAAACACAAGTGGCATTATAAGTGCCGGGAGAGCAAAAAGAGTGGCTCCTCAACCCATGCAACCTGGGGATAGGTAGGTCCATAGGTTGGCATTTGTTTATTATGAAATTACTTAGCTGCTTTCTTATTTATCTTCCCGAACTGTGACCAATTTAGGCAGCTTAATGAAGAGAGGAAAAAACCAAACAATGCGCTATCTGCAGAGCAGGGAGACATACCAGTTTTGGCATCAGATTCAGAGAATGAGTTAGAGGAAACCAATTCGAAGGTAGATTTCATCTTTTTAGCTATTTATTAAAGGTTGACAGAACTGAATGGGACAAGGGAGCGTGTTAAACTGTGGAGGTGACACTTTATGATTTAGGATTAAGACTTCCCTACTATACTCTATTTGATTAATTCCAAGTGAATGAAGAATAGAAGACTGGCTACTTTAGTCTAAACCTAAATGTTTCTGGCAGTTTTCTGGTCAATATTTATATCATGGCTGCATAACTGGTAGCCCCACCCCTCAACTGTAGTGCTTCTTCTATTTAAGAGGTGGAGACTTTCTTTTTCAGCAGAGTACAGAACCCTAAGTTATTGCCCTTCAATAAAAAGAGTTAGAATAAAAACGGAAAATGCACTAAATACCTGTGGAGTCTAGGTGTCAAAAACTGTGTGCAACCTTATTCCTGCAGAGTGGGTGTCAAGATGTGTACAGCTTTATCCATATAAAAATATAGAGGTTGTTTCTATTAGGCCCTCGATGCATTTACTGTCCAAAAACTTCATAAAGAGTACGTAAAAGAAATTTTGGGAAAGCGTTGTCAATAGTGTCTGTTTTAGCAGCAAGTGACTGCCAAACAACTTTCAAATTGAAAAAAATGTAGGGCCATAAATGTGTTCATATGCCAATATGCCATGTTGAGTTTTGCATAGAGATTAGGACAAACATGGTGTATGGTGTCCAGCTCAATTAGAAAACTTGCTTGACACTATATACTGCAGACATTAAGTTTGTGCTCACTAGCTCAGGGACTGAATCATCATCTCTCTGCAGAGTATGGAGGTTCTTGAAGAGGTTTACACTTCTGGCAACACTAAAAAACTTCCAGACTACTCAGGGGGGCCAAGGAGGAGCAAACGATCTAAGCGGGGGCGTACGGTATGAAAATGACACTACTCGCTGTCTTATTCAATTCTTAGTTATAGTGGCTATTTCACATCACCCGTTTCTTTATGATGTAGCTACCGCTCATCGCATTTGTTTATAAAGGGCGTATCCTACATCCATGTCTTATTTAAAAGTGTTTTTCTACTCTCCCATCAATCAAATTTTCTTAAGACATTCTATTACGGAGTATTTGATATCTCCTCCAACGAGGAATGTCATGCCCACTCTCACCTTGATATCTTTGTAAATTGCATCACATCATATACAGTTGTGAAGGGCGAAAATCATAGAAAAAAAATCACCTTGCACATTTAATGGAATATTACTCGGGGTGAAATTTGCACGTTCAGAATGAGAATGCGCATAACGTCCTTCTTCAAACTAGTTTAGTGCTTCCGTTTGTTGAGTGAGCGGAATGCCAATACCAAATCATATAACATTGTGTGTAGTGTAGCATATGCAGTACTTGTAGTATATGTATTATATTCACGTCAAGTTCTACAATCAGGGCTTGGTCAGACCAGGATGTTTTTTGTGAGAGATCTTAATACATTTGTTCTTTTGGATGTTCATCTCTTTTTCATGTTTATAGATTGTCCATTGATGAGTCTATTTGTGTTGGATTGTGGAGCACGATGTTGGACCTCGTTTGGGAACAACATTTTTTATAGCGCAGACTAACTATGGAAATGTTAAAGCTAAATCTTGTTACATTCCTTTGTTCAAAACGTTAAAGCTAAATGCGAACACAAACTCTGCAATGAATTGGCCAGTGGTACAAGGTAGCGTCACATCTAAGGGTGTGGGGTTAGGGACGCAGCCCTCAAGAAATGTTTTAGATAGTTGTGGTCGACTTTGTAACATAAATGATAGGAACAAGAAATTATTTAGGAAAAATACTCTCGAGACGAAAGTGATTTTTGTTTGCTTTTGAAGGACAATTTATATTTGTCCTCGCCCCGCCCTACTCAACCCCATGCCCCTACCCCTCCTCCTACCGCCCCTGTACTGTTGTTATGGATGGTAGAGTAGGATATTTAATTATATATTTATTAGTTATTAATTAATTAGAATTAGTATTCATTATTATCATCGTTATTATTATTATTATCATTATTATTATATGTTAATTTAGATTTTATTAGGTGAGCAAAATTATAAGCTCCTCTGAGGTTTTTTTTACGGTTCTTTCCATCATCGCTTTTATTGAACCGTCAGGTTAGGCTTAGGGTTAGCTAGGGTTCCTGTGTCTCCTATATATAGAGATGTAACCCCTTTAGAATAATCAATCAATAAACAACTCAAAACCCTAATTCCTTCTCCTCTCTCGGTTCGCCGATTCCTTCCTTTGCCTCTATTCTTCTTCTTTTTTCGTCCCATATTCTCAAGAGCTCGAAGACGCTCTGAGCCTTCCCTATCCGATACGTACGATAAGAGATCGAAGATGCTCCTTTACATCTTATGTACGATATCAAGATGGGGAGACCTCATGATTGCGCGAGACAGAGTTAAATCAAGAAATTGATGGTTGTCACCCAAAGCATGGTCCTTAACAATGCCTCCAACATAAGATGTAAAGTCTGGCTTGTAGGGCACCCCATCACTATTAAAAACTTTTGTCGTGAGAGAGTAGTCTTTGTGATGGTCAACCCCAGCAACATCATCCGTGAGAAAAACATCAACAACTTTAAGAGGAACATCTTTGGGAATACATACAGAATCAAGATCAATTTCCTCCTTAGATTCCTGATCATGAGAATCAGTGTTTTTCATATGTACTGAATGGGTCAAACTTGGTGGAGAAGGCGGAGCGCTAATAAAATTCCTTTGTGCGCCCAACACATGCGTTCTGAAATTTTTAACCCCAAAGAAATTTGACTTGACCCAATTGGAGGATCACGAACCAAATCTTGAATGGAGCAAGAGATATCCACGTCAAACGCATATATGTCGGAATCATAATTTAGTTGACCCTCAATATGAGAGAATGATCGGAGCGTCCTGATAATTTCATCAAAACAATCTCTGCTAAACTGAAAAGATTATCTACCATGAGTTTATCAATCAAGGGCGCCATGCTGCAATTGCCGAATCTTGTTAATGATGACACAACAATTCTTTTGATCTGGATCCAACAACTCCAATGGAATTGAGCAGCAGTGGCGGCAGAAAATTGGTGATGCTTCAGTGTTGATTTTTTTTTGTGTTTTGGGATTCAAATCTGTCGTCGGCGGAGGCAATTGGAAGAAGATTCCGTCCACAATCTTGCGTAGGCAGCGGTGATTGCAGAGCTAGGCACCGACAGAGTAAATTGGTAACCCAGCAACTAAAATCCAGTGGCTTACACAACAAAAGTGATGCGGCAAATAAAATTGACCAAACGGCAAAACGAGCGGTGGCGGTTTGAAAGACTGCAGGCGGAAGTTGATGCTGGTGGTGAATTGGTGCGGATGTCACTCTTGAATTCTGCGATCCTTCGCCTAGGGTTTTGCTGCGTTCTTCTATAGATGGAGCTTCGATTTCAAAGAGCAGAAGGACAACGACGGATTTTTTTTTTTTGGTGAGTGCAAATCAATGAGAGCACCAATGATACGAACACGTATCATATGGGGAAGACTCAGAGCGTCTTCGAACTCTTGAGAATATGGGACGAGGAAGAAGAAGAAGAATAGAGGTAAATGAGGGAATAGGCGAACCGAAAGGGGAGAAGGAATTAGGATTTTGAATTGTTTATTGATTGATTATTCTAAAGGGGTTATATCTCTATATATAGGAGACACAGGAACCCTAGTTAACTCTAATCCTAACCTGACGGTTCAATAAAAACGACGAGGGAAAGAACCGTAAGGAAACCTCGAAGGAGCTTATAATTTTGCTCACCTAATAAAATCTAGATTAACATATAATAATAATAATAATAATGAATACTACTTCTAATTAATTAATAACTAATAAATATATAACTAAATATCCTACTCTACCCTCCATAACAACTACCCTTGACCACACCTCTACCCGGACTACCCCTACCCATATCCTAACTTTGAAAATGCTATAACTAAAGGTGAATACTACGGAGTATCAAGCATTCATGGAATTTCATGCACCTCCTCACAAATGTCATACGTAGTATATTTTTTAAAGTCATTTCATGACAGTTTCTAAAATATGGTTCACCATATATATATATAGTGCCATAACACCTTTAGTACAAAGCGAACTAGCATTTTACACCAAAATATTTAAACTAAACTTGGGGGGAAATTAAATTGTACTAATAAAAAATAAGAATGCACAGCTTTGTAAAATTCGTGAAGTGTATATTGACTTGTTTTTTAAGACGTCTTCAAATATTTGTCCCAATTATCAGAACTTGTACCGTGAGCTAATTGTCAAATTATGGATGTACATTTTTGCAAAGGCATAAATCCGAGTTTACCTCTGTCATTGTAATATTGTTGGAAATAGCGATTGAAATTTAGTTTGCAAGTCATCGACTATTCTACAAAAAAGACGTCGGCTCATCAGAAAAGGTCGAGCGAGTAAAGACTCGTTGTACATTGGCTTGATAGAGAAAAATCTTCCATAAAATGTGTGTTTGAAACCCCTTGATCTCAATTGATTTGGATTCATCTTTTAACGATAAAAAAGGCTTTGTACATTGTTACAATTTAGAAATGGTATTGGAATCAAAACCGGTATCGAAACCGCTCGGAACCATGGATAAATAAAGGTTATGGTTAATTTTTGGTACCAAAATTGGAACCCGACTTATCTGGAAGCAATACCGGTTTTGTTCTTTTTTTTTTTAGTTTTTTATGATTATTTTTCAATTTGCTTGAGATGGATTCATAATATTTGCCACAAAGAAAAGAGTTTGGGATCAATTATATAACCTTTTTACCAAAAAAAAAGTTTATAAAAAATTATTTGAAATCAGAACGGAAACCAGAACCGTCCCAACATGGTATTGGTCCAGTTCTCCTAAAATGGGTACTGGTACCACCGGTTTCGGAACCACTACTAGAATGGTATTGTTGCTTGCCGAAGTCGAATTTAGATCTCAATTTGATCCGGGCTCGATAATTGCATTGTGGAAATATGGTAGACTTAAGGTTTGTTCTCTTCACTTCATCTGATTGATTTTGATCTCATTGAAATAGGTTCTAATGATATTTAGGCCTTGTTCTTTTAATTTGGAAAAATTAACTTTCAAGTTTTTCTAACTCTTTCTAGTTTTTTTCCAACTCCTTCCAATAATGGCTTAAAAAAATATTTATATATATGATGAATATACACTAACATTATTATATGTCAAAATTTATAACTTAACACCTCAAATACGGATAAGGATGAATTTTTTTCATCCAAAATTATAACTTTCTTACATACTTATTTGGGTGATCATTTAATTGAGTGACTTTTTAACACTTTAATTCTTCCAACATTTTCCAACTCCTTCCATTTTCTTCAAACTTCTTCCAGTTTTTTACAACATCCAACTCTGACATTTCGACCCAAAAGGACAGAACCTGAACTTGATTTCATCTTTTTCAATCTGATTCTAATAAAAAAGTAATCATCTGCACGTAATAAAAATAAGTTGAGAACAAACTTCATATACTCCCCCCGTCCATGAAAAATATTCCGTTGCGCGTTACAATGTTTGACTGAAGTTATCTCCAAATCATTTTATATGAAAAATCAAATAAAATAAAAATAATAAAAATTACAAATTTAAAAACAACATGAACATATCTACAAAACTAGAGGTGACATTACTATATTATTTTATCAAATAAGAAATAAAAATATATCAACAAAGTGAATAAAGTTCGATCCTAAACGGAAATATTATTACTCCGTATTATTAAAAGAGAGAGTATTTTTTTTATTATAAAAATGGCGGTTCGGTTGGGCGGCGTACGTTAAGTTATATGCACCGAACAGAAAACAACAACGTGGAAGAAACTGGATTCCCTCCCAACTGCCACGTTTCAAATCGTCTTATCGTTTCCTTTCCATTTCCCATGAATTGCAAATTACCAAGTTTTCTTTTTTTTTTCTTTTCTTTGATAATATAATAGTTAATCGAGAATTACTCAAGATATCTTTAATTTCGTGTAAGAACGGACGGACCTTAAATTATCTGAAATATATTTTGTATTACTTTTAAATTCTAATAAAAATTTCTTGTGTCATTTTATTTAAAATATACTTTGAAGTCCTTAAAATTTATGTTAATGTACTCTAAAAGTGCATTATGTAAAAACAGGTAAACTAATATATATATATATATATATATATATATATGTATATATATATTTCAAATAATGTGAAATCTAAGAATTCTTATCCAAATATAGAAGCTACGTACGTATCCTAGAATATACTGTGTTTTAGATAATGTAAGACTTGCGAGTTTTCATACTCTAAAATAATTTTCTGCTTTAACTAAAGTAAAACTCGATTGTCTATAACTTTTCTTTCGATTTACTATTCATTAGATCAAACTTTACATATTCCTTTTATTTATTTTTTGTTATTTATTAGTTAACACAATCTTGTTGTCTTTTATTTCATAGATTTTTTTATGTGATTGTTATAGTATAATTTGTTTTGTTAAATTTCATGCTAATTTTTAAATAAATTTAATTTAAAAATAATTTCAATCAAATGTTGTGAACTACAACGAGAAGAAAATGAGTAGGCATAAAGAGGAAATAAATAAGGGTAAAGCTATTTGTACCTCATGTTTTATACCCCACTTTGTACCTCATAGTTTTGCACCAATACTTTGTGTCCGTGTAAATAAAGCAAATAAATCAATGCATCACTAAAATCATTCATCCCATTAGAAACCTGTCATCATATATATATATATATATATATATATATATATATATATATATATATATATATATATCCGGGCATTAGCTAGCTTAATAGCTTAATCACTTAATTCTCTCAATTCAAAACAGGTAAAGTAATTAACTGGAGTTGCAGAGAAATGGCGTCGTCGTCATCGACTCAGCTGCCTCCGAGCTCAGCAAATTACCTTGCTGCCCTCGCCATGGAGATCCAGAAAAAACTTCTTCGCGTATATTTCCTATTTAATTTTTCTCCCACTTTCTTTATGTGCTCAAAGTATATATTATACATGACTCGTGTTTTTTTTCTTTTTTTCTTAACACATATCATAATCACACAAATTTTATTTTATAAAAAGTACTGTATTTTAATGAGTCAAATATACTCCTCCTTCGGTTCCGGAAAACATGAGAGTTTTGGTTTTGGAAAGGGATTTAAGGGGAGTGTATTTTGGCATTGAATTTCCAAAAATGTCCTTTGATGTGATGGGTAAAAGTATGATTTGATGGATAGATTATTAGTAAAAAGGTATGATGTGATAGGTAGAGTATGAAAAAGTAAGAGGTAAAAGTGATTTTTTAATAGAAATGAAAATTGTTTTTTGGGACGGATAAAAAAAAAAGGAGAAAAGTTTTCTGGGACTGAGGGAGAGTAATTATGCAACATAGGTGTCAAGTAACCCACTAGACTACAAGTTCAAGCTTATGGTTCAAGCTAAAGGATTTGAAAGAGAAAGAAAAGAAACAAAATGAAAAATAATTTTTTTTACTAGGTTAGAGAAGAGAAAAGAAAAGAAAAATAGAAAGAAAAGAAAGCGGGAAGCCAAAATGTATCGAGAAAAGGGAGAACAAAATTATCCTTTTCTTTTCCGTCCAAAGTTCTTAAACCAAACATAGTGTTATAGTTTTAGCTCTAGGAAATGGTTCTATATTCAAACAATTGGAAGTACATGGGCATTTTCAAAACCCATTCAACGAAATGGAGAAGGGCTTAGGGGGCGAGGGAGGTGTTTTTGGGACTTGATTTGTTCCTGTAATATAATGAGTTCATCTCATTATTATGTTAGAGTATGAATTCTTTCTTTTTTTTTTTGAATTTTTGCGTGGGTAGTTTAGTTGGTCCTCACGACTATGTTACATGGATTCTTCAAGTAGGTGCTACTTCTCATCCCTGAAACGTCATCGTTTGAGTATGTACTTGGAGGCGCCCCACACCCAAATTCTTAATAAATTATGAAAAAATTGACGTTTCACGCTTCCGACCATGTCCCCATCTAGGTGCAACTTAGCTCAGGGATGAAAGAAACTAAGTTCAAAATCTTTGGATCGAGCCAAGATAGAGGCATTGTGAGTTTCATGAATTCCAATGTGGCGCCTCCTTGTGCGCCTTAGGCACGTACCAAACAATTTCTCTAGGAATAGACTAAAATTATATATCATGATTTACTCTTCACTATTCTGTCGGATTGGGGTGTAGAGCTCTTTGAACGTGTGTTCTACCTCTTTATAGAGTAAATTCCACATATAGTCTCTAATTAAAGGTGGTCGTTTCATATTTAGTCTTTAATTTTTAGATATTCCATAAATAGTCCTTAATTTTTTAAAAGAATTCCATAACCGGTCTTTCAGGGACTATTTTTAGAAAAAGTATTCTTTCATATTTGGCCTAAAGGACTAATTGTGGAATAGTTTTTCAAAATTGGGGACCATTTATGGAATATTTAAAAATTGAGAATTAAATATGAAAAACCATCCGTATTTGGGGACCATTCATAGAATTTACTCTTTTTTTTCCACTTGTTTTTAGTTACATAATGTTTACGCTTTGTTACTTTTTTTAGTTAAGAGTTCTCTGATCTGTATACTCCGTATGATTTACTTGCAATCTTTTAATACTCACTTTAGTTTGACTGTTAAATTAATTTTGACCATAGATTAAATATCGTTTTAAAAAAATTAAAATTACAAAAATTTGATAGTCCGGTATATCATATCTACATCTTAAAACGAACTCAATAACATTAAATTTACATCATAATTGAATACATTTTTTCTCACAACTTGCGATCAAAATTGGGTTAAAAGTCAAAATAGAACAAATAAATCGGGACGGAGGAGTGCCCTTTAATACTATTTAGTGTAAATTTCACTTTTTATAAAAAAAAACAGGCAATAGCTTTGCCGAGTGAGAGGCACCAATTGTTGCAAGAGCTGTTAGCTGATATAGCTTTGGAAGTTGATGATCGAGCCAGAGGTTCGTTAGTTAATTACTCTTTGCCAATTTTTATTCACAAAGTTTCTTTGTCTTTTTTTTTGGGGGGGGGACATTATATATTTTTATGTTAAATCAAAATTGTCAACGAACTGACGCTAGCTAATTAGATAAATCTATGACGCTAACACTCATCGATCGAAAATGTTGATCGAATGAATTGTACATACAGGAGTGATATTTGGGAGTGAGAAATCAATATCTGCCGCAGAAGAAAGAAACAAAGGGCCAATATGCTACTTCAATGTGCTTACTGACCACTTTGTGAATGATCACCATTGTGGGAAACCAATCCTTGACTTGATTGTTCAGCTTTGGAGCCAGTCCTTTGTTTCTCATATTTTTTCCCTCTTGTTCCACAAATGGGTATGCATATTTATATATATATATATATCTCATCACCTTACATTCTGCTTTTACTCTTAAGGTTAATAAATTTCATTCACTTTCGTAAAACATTTGATTTGATTTTGGAATAACAAGACTTTTCACTTTTTAATTATATTGCACCCCAATTCTCAAATGAATTGTATTTGAAAATAATTTCAGTTCAATATATATTAACATATTAGTGTATATATTGTATTCTTCATATATTTGTATTTGGGGCTCCTCGTTTGTATCACCACCGGGGCTCTTCGTTTGTATCGCCCATGTATATTTATATGGGCTTATGTATCAATGAAACTCAACGAATTCATTTCTAAAATTCTACAATATCGTCCCGCAAAAAAAACGAAACTCGACTCTTTTCCTTTTTTGTATGCATAAAGAAAAAGGGAAATGATATTTGCACTCCATTTTTTTCTATTGGCACTCCAAAATGCTCTATTAGCAAAAAAAATGGAGTGCAAATATCATTTCTCAAGGAAAAGGCTTTGCTGACTATCTAAAAAAAGTATGTGACTCCCAACTCTTCAAAACAAATTCAAATCATAAATTTGTTACTTTTCAACACTTTCCTTGAATTTTGTGAAAATCAAACAACCCGTTTTTATAGCGGCGTCAATTTTTTTCTTGTATATCAACTGAACCTCTCAAAGATGTTTTCATATTAATTTTGCAGCTATTTGAGGTTGAGCTTGAGAATACCGAATCATTGATTCGGTACTCTTCTGCCCTGGTTCATGGTGCTACCAATGTGTTTTGGTACGTTTTTTTCTTCAAATTTTTATGTAATTTTAACTTGCCGTAAAATAAATGTTAGCGTCATACGCACTACATTGGCTGGTAACACTATATTTACCGTTCTTTCAATTCGTAAGATTCAAAATTAGTTAACATATATGGTTAAATGTGTTTTTAATCTTTGTAAACTACGGAGTACCAACTTTTGTTTTTGTTCCTTTTTTTTGTTTCATTGATCCTTACAAAACATTTTATTTTGAAAACGACCCTTCAGTGCAATAAAAATTTCTAATTTTTTTTTAGATTTATTTCATATTCAGCATCATATATATCTAGCTTAGTCTTGCATTTTTAATTACTCCAGACATAATTCTCATGTCTTAAATTGTGTTCCCCATCAAATTACGTTCTCAATAATTCCCAAATTTATTTACTCTCTCTAGACGGGCTTTAAAAATGTATAGTTTTGGTTTTATTTTCTAATTTTGTCTTTACTTTATAATATATAGGATATGACGTGTAAGATAAAAAAAACTAGAAATTCGATAATAACACCAAAATTGCACATTTTGAAGTCCGTCTTTTTTCAAACTAGAAATGTTTGAGGGACGAGGGAGTATTATATTAAATCCCCAAAAAATTTGGAACTCAAGACATAATATGAATAAGGATACAATTTAGAAATCAGAATTGTGTTGGAAATAATTAGGTATGCAAGACTAGACGTTAAGTATGAAATAGATGTGTTATCTCCACTAATTCAAAGTCCTAATTATGTTTAAGGATCATTTTCAAATTAAAATTTTTTAAAGGATGACTTAAACAAAAAATATTACAGGGACAAAAAAAATCGTCTATTTTATAGGGACATAGAAATGTATTTAATCTTCTAAAAGTATATTATCTTCGTCTGAAAAGTTGCTTCCCATTGAGTTTTCTTGGTCAACATTTTTAAAATTTTGACCACAATATATATAAATAAATATAGTGTGTTATTACGGCCCCCTTGTTTTAACAACAAGAAGGGGTGTCATATTATGACAATAAGGCCTACGGTTGCCAATCGGCGCTTTGGGGTGGGAGGCGAACCATCGATTTTTTTGAACGGAGCACCATATGCTTTGTTGTCATAATATGACACCCCTTCTTGTTGTCACCAACTCTCATTTTATATGAATAGATTAATTTTAAGAAATAGTTTTGAAATATTATAATTTTACAATATACATGTTAAAGGGTTGTATCAAAAGTCATGAAAAAACAAATGAGAAGAAATTTTTTAGATGAGTATGATGTATTTTTGTTGTGATTACCTTTTCACAGGATCGATGTTCAATCCAACATGAAATGCTTTCAGAGTCTCTTTATGGTGAGATGCATTAATATTAGAAAGATACATATTGTTAGGAAAATTGGAATCAAGCTAGCTTCACCAAATACTCTACACAAGTTTTTGTTTCTTTAAACAATTTCCAATTAATTTTTTTTTAAATTTTCAATATTTTGACTTCAATTTTGTAAATTCAAATCATGAATTACTACGGAGTAACATTTTTTCATCCTATCAATGCACTGAATATTGAAGTATCTGATTGAGGAAGTCGCATTCGTTCCAGAACGGTTAAAGAAGATACCGTTGCAGGTGCGAAATTCATTGGAACACTCGCTCTCGATTCTCAAACATCATTAATCTTTGTCACCACTGGGCATTATCTTATTAACGGTATTTGTTTTTCCCCTAAAACAGGCGCAACGGGATTTGTTCCTCGTCCTCTCACGTTACATATTTTTCTACGACTCGGGTGAGAGAAACATACGATACAAATACATGTTAAGTAATATTGATTTGGTTTTATATGCGCCGCACGTTGATCACATGCGTTTAATTACTTTCAGTTGACAAGCTAGAAAGCTTCTTGAGTCAATTCCCAGATTTCCCAAATGCTCTCTTTATAGGCGGTCCGGCTGATTTCTTCGTTATTGAATTAGCTGATAAGGTGAGGAACATCACCACACGTAAACACACACGTTTCGGTTCAACCAAACATTTTCTTCCCGTGAAAATAGGAATTATTTTCACTCATCACTTGTTTCCTTGCTATCCAAAAAGGGGTTTGCAGCGCAGCTTGTTGTCCGTTTACCTGTCATTTTTTTCACGTACTTTTTGGAGGGTTTAGAAACATTAATATTGCAAGTTTTTGATTATAGGATTCTTAATCTCAATTACACAATTTCATTATTTCGATCGGTTCTTTTTTATAACGTGCACTTTAGTAGGTTTTCAAAATGATTTTCACAAATACTTCTTGTGAACTTACTAATTCATCTTTTACTGTGCTCTTTTTTTAACCAGCTTCAGCAACTGAAAGTTGAGCCAGTACTATTGCATTACCTCTCCCAGATGAAAGTTCTAAGTGGTAAAGTGCTATATATAGAGATCACAAAACATGGAATTTTAAATGGTTAATTAAATCAATTGGAGTTCTTTAATTAGTGAGGTTCTTAATTATGTTGTATCTACAGGGGTAGAATTGAGAATGACAACAAGTACAAGACTGAGAACCTGCTTGTATAGCTTCACTAGCCCAGGTGCTCCTATGTACCCGACACGTGCGGTCCGTCATGCAGCGCGAGATGTACTGGACTTTCTTTTTCCGGTTAGTACTAACTTTACCAGACCTGTTTTTTATTCGAAACCCAGCTTGAAAATACGAAGATTTTATTAATCGAACACGAAAATGACTGAACTCGAAATTACCCGCTAAAATGAGTCAAACGACCAGCTAAATTGAAATACGATCTTTTTTTCTCGAGAATTGTGTTGATGGGTTGATTTGTTGGTGTTACAGGTGGGGCGATACCCGAGGCATCTCATAAGTTTGTTCTTTAGGTTGCTACATCCATGGTACTGGCCCTCTTCTTTTTGGAACTTCATAAAATCATGTGTTGTGGCAATGTTATGTTTGTTGTCAAGATTGTTTTTCTCTAGTTGGGATAAGTTTGGAAAACCCAAAGAATGATAAACAGAGACATATTCCTTTGCTTTTTGGTTGAATGTGTGTGAATCTCATAAAGGTTTTAGAAAGAATTATGGGTTCAACCTTCACAAATTGCAATCTTTCTTATCTATCTAATTTGAGTAGAGCACAAAGACAAATTTATATAGTACTATAAAGTTAATTTCACAAGTGTTTTTTGAAACACAAAAGAGGGCGCGTTTTAATATATCACAATATATGAATCCCCAAAAGGCGTTTCGAACTTTCAATATCAATCCAAGGCAACGATGGAATCAAGTAAAGACACCGGGGCGGCCACCGACTCATCTCCACCATTGCCGCCGCCCCCACCATAGCCATCGATTTTTTTTTTTGACTTCTTTGTAAAAGTGCAGCACAATGCTCTGCAAACGCATAAGCTACTGCTCGCCAACAGCTGATAAAATTAAAGTGGCTAAATAATCACTTTTTTTGTCACAAGCCAGGAACATGTTGATATTTACTAACATTTATTAAGGGTCTTTGGTATATGGAATTGGAATTGAATTGAAATTTAAATTACATGGGACTCAATTCCATAGAATTGAATTCTGTCAATTTCATTTTTTTTTTGCACTATCAATTCCAAATCTACATAACTTTTGTGCTACCAAACACCAGAATTGGAATTGAATTGAAATTCCAATTCCGTACTTTGAATTCCATGTACCAAACGGGGCCTAAAGGATTTTACAATTTTGTCCTAACATTTTTTCACCTTCTTATGAACAATTTATGTCTTTTATTAGAACGTATTTTTTGTTTTAATATACGTATATTGTAAGATTTTATTTTAAATGTTTAACTTTATTATACATAAATTCAATTTTCAAATATTTAAAAATTTATAAATACTTTAATTAATAAATAGTTTTGAAATTTATAAATACTTCAATTTTTAATATATGAAGTTTAAATAAATTTTTTAATGATAACATACATAAAATAACTAAGATTATTGCTTTTAATAACTAAGATAATAGTTATTTGACTTAAATTGAAATATTTTATTGAAATTTAATAAAATAATAATAATTCAATATAAAATTTAACAATATGAGAGTTGCGAGTTCTTAACAGAAAACGTGAAGTCACTCGAAGTAAATTTTGTGTGTGTTCGATTGGTTAAAGTAACAAAACTTTCAATCCTAACAGTCAAATGAATGGAATGTACTATTTTAGATAATGTAAAACCTGAAAGTTCTTATCAGGCAACCAATGGTACCCGGAAGTAATTTTCTCATAAACACTATCGGTTTCCAAATGTCAAAAACATTCATGTACTCCGGGGTAGAAAAGTATTCAAACATTCAATGATTCAAACACTACATATTTTTGCCTAAACACTACATGTTTTTGCCTTTACCTAAATTGTTTGTAATGACTCCCAGCATATTGCTACACATTATGCCTACATTGAAACTATGGGGTTCGCAGTTCGCCATTTACGCCCGAAATGCCATTGGCTATGTTTGGCATAACTAAAAATATCGCTGGTGAAAACTGAAGAGACAAAGTCAAGACAAAAGTCTGAAGATTGAAAGTCTTATTAGTGAAATCGAGTCTGCATCCATACCTTAAAAATAGTTATGGTTTGCTTTGCATCATTCACATGGCTCTCAAACGGTCAAATTGGTCTCACAATTTGCAACAATCGAAATAAAGAAAACAACTAAATTTCATCTTCTTCAAATGGATCTCGTTCTGGATAATCCCCAACCTGAACAGCCAATACAACGAGCCATAACTCCAGTTTTTATAAACAACCAAGTACAGCTAGAGAGTTTTTCCTTTTCCTTTCCAATGTTAAAAACCATATCCCGAAGACCCAAACCTTAAACCTCAAAACTTATATAATAAACAACCTAGTAAAGCTAGAGATCTTAAGAAAGTAGACACCTTTACTTTATCTGGGCGAACCATTACGCCGTGAAGGGGAGGGCTGTTGAAGTAGCGTTTGCCTTTCACCCTATGTGAACATAGCAGAAGAATTATAACGGTCAAGTAAAGCTTCTCACAAAATAAATAGATAAATAAATAAAGACGATAGAAAAATCTTGCAATTATATTTCTAGAATAATGCAAGTGTCCCCCTCCCCACTGGCTAGGGAGGGATATATATAGACGATGGGGACGAAGACACGAGCGGGTGCCAATGCCCACTATCCAAATAACTATTTAACGGGCCATAACACCAACAGGCTGGGCCAGTGCCAGTCCACTAACTTTCGAACCAAATGGTAGGCTAAGTGGCTAACTACTGCCCTAGAGGGGGCCTTTACTCAGGACTCCATGGCCGACTACCAGGCAGGGACGAGACTGAGCATTGGTCGGGCAGGTCTGCCAATTTGCCCGCACAATTGGTCTCTGACTCTGGATCGAGGCCGGCCACTTGCTCCACAGAGTTGGGCTTACGATCTTGGGCTCTGAAGCACTCTTTCTTGGGGCATGATACCATCAAAGTGATATCTCACTTTTGCCATGCGGTCACCTCACATCAGAGACATCCACCGTTGGGACACATTGTGTCAAGAAGTCCATTTTGAAAGCAGTGGTTGTAGGGATTCAAAGTCAAATCTTTGTGAGGAACCGGAAAACAAAAATGGAATGATGTGAAGAAGAGGAAGAAAAAGAAGAAGAAGATGCACGGTTAGAATTATTTTCAGGTCGAAGTCATTTGTGAGTTTTAGAAATGAACAAATGCAACGTTTGGGAGCGAAGATGTAATTGAAACACACATTGAAGGATTACTGAAGCACATGCAAGGGTCTACACCCAGCACCTGCATGTATCACCTATTTTGTGAGCCAAACAAGGTGTTACCCTCAAATGATGTTATAAGTTATATTACTGAGAGATTTTTATTGTGTCCATTAGTTTCTTAATCTGACCACCTCGTTAAGGGAAAAAGGATCTGATCGCCTTATCTGCATGTAACGAGGTGAACAAGATGCAGGGTATGAGCCTGAATTTAGTCCTCTACCCCTTAACTAACAAAACACCATCATCACCACTTTAATCCCAACTAAAATGGGATCGGTAACATGATATTTAGCATTAGTTTATTGTAAGCAATTAATTTTTTTTGGACAATTGTAAGCAATTAATTAATACTATAAATACACGAAAAACATAATGACAAAGTTTAACCCCAATGTCCTTCATGTTGTAAACTCCTAATGTAATGATGAGATGAATTACCAAAACCACATGTGAATTTCCACTTGCATGTCAACATTATGGGATGTTGGGATAATTGTTAAGTCATGTCACATTGCAAAATCGTGATGGTAAAATCAAGCATGATGGAGCATGACTGAAAATTTGTCTTTAAGCTACATGTTGTCATTTACATGGACCATAGTACATCATAGATTATTTCCACTTGCATGGAAATTATAACGAGGTGGTGATGAGCTGGGATAGTTGTTATAGTCATGCCTCACTTCAAATGTGATATTGAGAAACCAAAATGTGCATTGCTAAATATTGATGAAATTTTGTAAAGATAAAATATTGAACTTACATTCCGTCGTGTTTTCCTACTGGTTCATCAAATTGAACTCCAAGCCAAAAACCAGAAGCTAGTGTTTCTGCCCGACCAACAAATTTGACAATGCCTCTCCTTTCTCCAGGCTCAACTTGGCATCTATCCCCTACCTTCTTGGACAAGGAGAATTAGTCACGGCAAAGCAAATTGGCATACAAATACATTCACCCAAGAAATAACACAAATATAGATCCAGAGACACCTAAAATAATTAAATTGGCATACAAACAGAAAAGCTTTCATTGATTGATAGATAAGAGGTGTGTGTGTGTGCGCGCACACATTTTATATGTGTGTGTGTGTGTGTATTTATATAGGTATATGTATATATGTATGTATATATATGTAAATAATACTCCTAAGTCCTAAACTTAATGGGCTAAAGCCAATGAATTCTAAATTTAGGAATTCGTACTTAATATTTTTTCTACTCTCTAAACTTAAGGCGTAAGCGTAACTAGTATGGAATAATAAGAACAAGAACCTTAATGGCCTAATGAAAAAGGAGAGAAGGTCAGAAAGAAAGGCAAGATGCAGTATACACAGAACCCCAAAACCATGCAAGAAAAAAAGACACAGCAAAGTAACCAACCAAGAATTGAGAAAGGCTTGGGGTGAAGATGTATTCAATCTGACCCTTGTAAAGAACAGAAAAGGTTAAGGAGCAACAATCTTAACTAGCGTAGCAAAGAAGCAAGGGGGGGTAATGATATTTGGCTACTTACAGTACCTAGCAAGTTACTTCCTTTCAAGCTTGAGCACAACCAACCTGGTGATGTTATGTGTTGGCCAATTAGCAGTGAACCAAGAGTGACGACGAGTTGAAGAAGTCTTATGTAAGTACTATTAGGATATTAGATAGTTTTGTAGGTTGAACATTATAGATAATTATTTGGACTAATAAGTATTCTTTGTTATTGTATTTAATTAGGACTTGGGTATTGTTCTCATCATCTTATTTCTTTATTTTATTAATTGTCCCTTATTTTGATATCACGCCAAAAACATTAGACACGGACAAGACCACAGAGATTCAAGTAAGACCCGATGTTATTTTATAATAAATGTGCCTAGATAGGAGTAAAATGTCATCAAAATACCAAAATAGGAGTGGCATTGTTTTTATCCCTTGAATAGGAGTTTGGCAGTGTAAATAGTAGCAATGTGATGACAATATAGCAGTATGAATGGTGACAATGATGGTGACAGTCACTAAAAGAGTGCTACTCCTATTCTGGTACTTTCATTGTCTTTTGCTTCTACTTAGGGAGTTCAAACTAGATCTGGAAGATTGATTGACTACAAACATTTGGATATCTTAAAAAACTCAGATTAGAAGCATTCAAGTTGCAGAAAGAGTGTGCAGAAGAGGTTGATTATGTCATATAATGAAGTAGAATCATAAAATTTAATAGAGAAGTAAAAAAAAGATGCTCCGTAAATTAAAAGAGATAGGAGTCTGGGTCTCAATAAAACCCAACCCTGAGAAGTTCGGCATCTCAACAAACTTCATAAACACCCATAATTTTTACAGATTCATCTTTATGACTGAACAGCCTGTGTGTTTCTATATGCAACAATAACAATCCTATAAAATCCCACAAATGGGGATATTCTTTCTTTTCTCGATTAAATTTGCCTCTATTTAGAAACATAGAGATATTAGACAACTTTTTATATTTAGCAGAGTGAGGCTAGTTCTGGATCTGATTATGACCATTGAATAAACAAGGCACACAGGGAGTACAGAATAAAATACAGTGATTTCCATAGATGGGGCACAAATTGAGAGACATTTTTAACACAAACACACAAGGCTTTGTAGAACAACAAGCCCAATATAATCCCAACACCATTGGTTGATGGGGGACAAGATGTTCATGGTCTTACCCCTGTTAAAAATAGAGAAGCTGTTTCCGTTAGATCCTGGATGCATAGTAGCATTTACTACCCACAACTTTCATATAAGAAGAAAATGAAGTTTAAATATCCATTTTGATTTAGTCCATTATTTGCCTCAAAGCTGAAACAGTCAATAATGACTCTTTTAGCTCCACTGAAAAATGGACTGACAAGGGTTTGTGAAACAATATATTTGGGATAGATGAATCAAAAGTCAACCAGACTAACCTTGATATGCGCGCAAAGATCCTCCATGTAATTGTCACATATCTGTTTGAATTTTCAATTGAAAGAGCAGAAATATCAAATATACAAAATAAAACAAAAAACATGCCTCTTTATAAATAGTAGCGATGATACTTTTAAACATGGTTAACACACTGTTTATCTTGCAAAGAATATAGGGAAGCAAGAGTGGGGAGAATACTTCTATGAAGGGATAAAGTATCATGTAGTTATGATAAAACCTGTATCGTATATCCAGTAGTTGTGACTTGTGATAAACACACACTACACACGGTGAAATACTTATATTGTTACCACTTGCCCTATACAATGAAATTCTAATGAAAATCTTACCTTGGCTTCACTAGTAGTAGTATGTTTATGTGGCAATTGTTCCTTGAACTTTTTGAAAGTACCTGACAAAAACACAATCAAAATATAAAGATCACCAGCAGACATGCTAAATTGTTGTCTACAGAATGATCATATGACTAAAATATTTTAAAATTTTGGGAGCTATATTTTCCTAAGAATATCTAAATTCTCCAACTCCTATCCTCCCAATAGAATGGTTGAAGAAAAATCAAAATCCAATTGGGATAACAATGACACTCAACTACTCAAGGCCTTTTGAAGATATTGTGAAGCGGTAATAAATGACTCGCAATTTACTTTATTTTATTACATCACTACTCAAAGCATCAATGTACATCCCATTTCTAATCTTAAATTGCCAGAAAAGAAAAGAATTGTCCGCTCTAAAATGATCACGTTTCACGTGTACAAGAAAAATTCAGCGATAATTAAACATAATTTTATCGGCAGAAATGTGTACTCGCCCGCTCACCTCCTAAAAACACAATGCAAAAGATAACATGTCCAATGTCAAAGTGGTTTTTGCATTTTTTATTACAAATAAAACTACAAAAACATACATGTTCCGAGAACCATAGTGTAAACCATGGCACTGCATAGGAACCAAACGTAATGCATTGTTAGAATTTGTAATTACCATCAAGTTTATCATAAGCCTCCTCAGAGATTGTGTATTTCTCCACATTCGAGGTATCATCCATCCAACCACCAGCTAATATTGAGGACGGATCGGTGTCAATAACATGTAGTCGATACCTATATGGAACAAAGAGCTTGACAAAATTTAAGTACATTGAAATATGAAGAGGATATGGAGCCAAACTATAAAGTAGTTGAATTTAAATCCACATAAATTGTGGTCTTCGTCAAAATTTGTAGGCAATATACCAGAAGAATGCAACCAAAAAGTATAAAGGAATAGTAAGTCACAAAGATTTGCATATATAATGTAAAAAAACAAATTAACAAACAAATAATGCAAGTTTCTAAATAAAACACTCTGTAGTTAACAGCTAAGTGGTCAAGGTTGCCTATGCTAGGAATCTCTGAAAAAGTGGCAAAGAAACAAGACAAGTATCTATTGTATTCTAACGGTAAATCAGTACTAACTAAAAATGGTTCAAAAGGCGTCCACATCAAAGCCTAAAGGATACATGCACCAAATATGAATCAGTTATAAACGTATAACTCGCATAGTTTTTATGAATCATTTTTCCTAAAAATATATTAGCCTTAAGAGATGGAAATTCCTAATGGGGTGGGGAGAGTATTTTATTAGTCTAACTTGTTTTATGTCATCTTGAGCTGAGGGGTTTTCAGAAACATCCTTCCTACCTTTATAGGTAGAAGTAAGGCATGCGTACACATACCCTCTTCAGACCCCACTTGTGGGACCTTACCAGGGTGTTGCTGAAACATGAAAGCTTTCAAAGAATATCAACGAAATAGAGAATAAACTCACCCATCTTGTGGAAAATAAAAGCCAAATGGTTTCATGTCATCGCTTAAGTCTGCAATTTTAGCACCTCTATCATCATAAAGCTCAAGACACATTGAAGTAACAGAAGTTCCACACTTTTTCCATAGCTTTTCTTTCACAGCTTCTACTGTCATCTGGCCATAGAGGCAAAATTGGCTAGTCATACACTTAAAGAGAAAATCATATGAATGGAGTAGTCACAGCCTAAAAACTAAAAAGCATACTACATCGAATTAAGTTTTACTTAAGAATTCTTATATTTTTTTACACATAATTAGGTAACATTAGGAAATAAACTTTTTATTTTATTTTTTGTTCCAATGACTGGAAACTTACAAAGAGAAATAATGTGAACCAAAAAATTCTTTCTTTAAATGGTAAGTGGAACCTTTTTTGGGAGAATAAGAAAAAGAAATGTACAAAGTGATTTGAGTGCGTAAACTTTTTTTTACATGTTTATTTTTGTAAAACAAATGATTTGATTTTCACTTTCCATCTGCAAAATGAAACTCTGTCAATAGTGCATTTCTTATTTTAAAATGTTTGAAGGAAATGAAACTAATGAAAAAAAATGAGAAGAAAGAGAATCTGTAAGAAATATATGTACCTGAAGATAGAAACGAACATCAGCCAAGAAACTCTTTATATTTGCATGGGTGACACTTACAAGAACTGAATCATCTGCAGGTATTTGTTGCAAAATGGAAGCCATAGAGAACAATATGGATTTTGGAATCCAAATGCTCGTCTTAACCTTGTAGCGAACCAGTACACATCAAATCACCTTCCAACCAGCAACTAGCCAACTACTATATCCTATGCAACAACACAACTCGTTAATCAACATAGTGTAATGTGATGAAGTAATTTTGCTTATTTTGAAAGTGCAGTGGACACATGACCAATCCTACCATTTCATAGGCTGGGGTGAAGGATAAAAAATATGATGTTTAGTGAAACTTAAACACATTTCATCACTAAAATGTAAATTGATTTTTCAAAAATTGGCATATTTCCTAAATGCTTGAAAAACAGCATATGAAGGTTTAAACCCTACTTCTCTATGCATAGACTACACTAATGTATGGATACGTTCTTGAAATTTGCTCAACATTGTGTGAGTAATATTTTCTCCGCAAAGTTTCAGTAGAGATGTATTTCTATGCAAGGCCAAGTTGTTTCCTCTAACATTTCAAAGTAAAGTGTGTTTTCTCCTCCTTCCGTCCCAAAATGAAGTTTATACTTTCTTTTTTCTAGTCCCAAAATAAAGTTTACACTTTTCCATTTTCACTTTTAGAAAATTGATATGTGGCTTTTATAATTTCTAGTATCTAAATAGATTTCAAATATACACCTTTTACTTTTCAACACTTTTTTTAAACTCCTTGAAGTACAAAGACTAATTTGAACATTTTTGAATAGTACAAAGACCTCAATGATACTTTGTCCAAAGGAACAGCAAGAATACATATTAAGAGGAGCGGGAGAGATAGGGATCATTCCATTAAATGTAAATTAGCAGCCAGAGTATAAAAATCTGAAGCTTTTTATCATTGCTGTTTCGGTAGTTGATCCAGGATGTCATTCGAAATTTGCAATATGTAAAAAACAATTATTGCGGCTGTCGGTGAATACGAGCACGGAAACTAACACGGCCTCACAAACAATGCATCAATGAAAACTTGAAGTGCATAATCTCACATTAAGCATCAGAAATAGATAATGTAGATGGATAGATTACCTGGCTGATCTTGAGGGCTTATGGCTAGCTGGATGTGCATTCAAACAAATTGATTAATTGCTCCATAATTAAAATAAAGATTCCAATGGCTCTTATGATGTATTTTTATTGATATAACATGAGTCAAAAAATGAATGTATTTAAGGTAGTGTTTGAGAACTTGCATTTCATATTGATTCTTGCATTTCATTTCTGAAATCAAAGCATAAGCTTCATTTTGGGACGGATGGAGCATAAGATTTCTTGTGGTAATGTACGAATGTGCACACACATATGTTGACAAATATGAACATAAATCTCACATATATACATCTAGCATATGAAATGTAGACATTGTACCTTCTGATTCTGTCTATAGTATGTGGGGTCTGGGAAAACGTCCTCGAATTTTATTTATAAAGGCAATAAGAAATGACAACAAAAAAATAATGAATACCTAATATAATTTAAAGATGGCAAATTTTTCCATTATCTAATACGGAGTAACAAATTTATCCATAGCTATGATTCTTAATAATACAATAAAGTGACAATATTATTAGCATTACAAAGTTCAATTTATTTTTCAAACTTTTATTTTAAGCACCCACTCACTTTGGTGGATTAGTTGAACACAAAACAATGTAATTGGATATTAAATGATAATCCCTCAAAATACGAAGAGGAAAAAAATCAATTTACTCGATCAGAATATGAATTTGTCACCATTTCTTTACTTGGAAACAATAAATCAACAATAAATTATAAATTAAAGTATTAAACCCTATTAAACAAAAACAATTACCTGTTTCCGTGCAGGGGAAGACTCTGCAGGCCAGTCCCGGATTGGCGGTTGTGGTGTGGTTGAGCTTGCCGCCGTGTGGCGTCCTCCGGTGGCGCTATGGATTTCCGTCGATAGTCTGGGGTGGAGCACTACCGGCTAGGTGAAGTATATCTTGTGTACGGCTAATTATAAATAATTTTTACTGTAATTTGTAAGTTGTTTATTGAAAAATTTTTCATAAAATCTTAATAATGAATAATTTGGTTAAAACAGATAAATGAAAAAATAATTTAAAAATGAGTATGACTTATAAGTTAATAAGAGTTTATGAACAGTTTTAACCGACCACTTGAACAATAGTACAAAATTTTAAAATAAAACTTGTATATTAAAAAATAACATTAAATTCTCTATGAAATATAATGTGATATCATTATACGAAGTATTATTTTAATAAATGATTAATGAAAATAAACAAAAAAAATTGACCAATGAATGGAGTTTGAATATTATCAATGTCCCTAATTATTTGTCTAGTGTTGACTTTTTGTAGTTAAAATTGAAAAATCTTGCCCACTAGCTAATTTAATAAAGTCAATATTAGATATTAATATAAAAATAATTTCACTAGATTTATTTTATATAATATTTTTTTAAAATATTATATTATCTAATTAATATACCATATATTTTTATTTAACTATAGGTCAAAGGTTGAAAGTAATTGATTACAAAAAATCAAAACTAACTAAATAATCAGACACAAAGATAGTATTTTGCATTCAGTTAATTTTACAAGAGACACTATTTTTGGAAACATTTGCTTAACGGTCCTCTATGAGAGTCCACAATACAACTTTCCTTGTAAAAGATTTTAACTCTGCATTTAAGTTATATTTTAATCTAACTTCTACGGTGTTTTTATAATAAATACTATGTTATTCCTAAATAAATATTATAATTGTAATTATTATAATTGTAACAATAAATGTGTAAAATGAACACTACATGCTTCGAGTCATTACCTTTTTGAGGGAAGCAACATCAGTGAAATGACTGATGAGCACATTTAGGGGATTGCTGATCCAATGAAGAAGATAGAGAGAGATAATAGTGATCTTTGCTGCTTGTCTCTATTGCACTTGGAAAAGCAGAAACCTAGCCTTACACAACAATGTAATGCCCTCACTCCAATTGAGGAAGTTGTTCAATATATGGATCAAGTATAATACTAGTACTTATTTACACTCAAAAACCTCTGTGCCAGCTTGAGTGGTTGTGGGGACTGTAATAGTTTGGGAGTTGAGTAGTAATTACTTAGATAGTGCATGGTGCTTAATGTGGATAATGTTATAGATATAGGTTGTGGCTAGTTCAGTTTGGGACTATCATGTACATCTGAGAGGAGGTATTGAATATATTTACATTTGGTTCAAAAAAGATGTTGAAAAAGACTCCACCCTGGACCTATATATGACTCAAATAAGTAATTTCTTACTACCTTGATGAGCATTAAAAAAGATTTTTTATATGAGAAGATCCACAAAAACAATATACGCTTAAGGTGCACCATAGAAAGCCTCTTACTTCATTATTTTCCACCCAATATTTACTGAGCAATCTCCCTATATGGGAGTAAAAAAATATGAAAATGTCAAAATAGAAGTACAATGGAAGTATGGTGCAAGGAGTACGCGTGTGTAGTGTGATAAAAAAGTGATAACAATGCTAAACTTCACCTTTGGTCCTTCAATTTTATCAGTTGTACACGATTGGTCCTTCAATTTTATCAGTTGTACACGATTGGTCCTTCAAGTTTTAAAAGCCCATAAATTGTCCTTCAACTTTATGAGTTATGCACAATTAGTCCTTCAAGTTTTAAAAGTTCATAAGTAGTCCTTCAAGTACAAGTCAGTTCTCCAGATGAGGTCCTTTTGACAGTAAATGTTAAAAGCTAAATGGAATACTAGCTTCATATAATACGGAGTAGTCGTACCTAGTGAAATTTACTCGTATTATATGAAATTAGTATTTCGTTTAACTTTTAATATTTACTGTCAAAAGGACTTCATCTGGAGGGCTGCTGAAGGACTACTTTTGAATTTTTGAAACTTAAAGGACCAATCTTGCACACCTCATAAAGTTGAAGGACTATTTATGGACTTTTGAAACTTGAAGTACCAATCGTGCACAACTCATAAAGTTGAAGGATCAATGATGGATTTTAGCCGTGATGACAGTGTAATATATCAGTTTGATCAGTCAATCGTCGGTGATCCGCGACGATATTTTGATGGCCAACGACGATGGATGACAATGTGATGGCGATAGTGTGACAGTTACAATGTAGTGAGTAAGACAATGTAACAATGACAATGTGAACTTCTATTTTGGTCTTAAAAGATTTATTACCCATATTTTGATATTTTTAATTCTTCATACTTGCTTTCTCTCATTTTTTTTCCTTAAATTATTTTGATAATGAAATATTCGCCATGAGTATAAATTAACTCGGGAGTAAAGACCTGAGTTTCCGCCTTCGCCCAAAACCAACGCCATAGCCGGTCACTACTACTGCTCCGCCCCAGACTATCGACGGAAATCCACAGTGCCACCGGAGGACGCCGCACGGCGGCAAGCCCCAACCAAACTGAAACCGCCAATCCGCGACTAGCCGACTGCGGAGTCTGCCCCCACACGGCAACAAGTATTTTTTTGTCTAACAGGGTTTAATTCTTTAATTTATAATTTATTGTTGCTTTTTTGTTTCCAAGTAAAAAATGGTGACAAATTCATATTCTAATAGAGTAAATTGGGTTTTCGTTCTTCCTATTTTGAGGGATTATCATTTAATATCCAATTACTTTGTTTTGTGTTCACCTAATCAACTAAAGTGAGTGGGTTTCTAAAGCTAAAAATTTGAAAAAGAATTTGAACTTTGTAAAACTAGTAGTATTGTCATTTTATTGTTTTATCAATAATTGTAGCCATGTATAAATTTGTTACTCCGTATTAGACAACAATACATTCTGCCATCTTTAAATTATATTAGGTATCCATTACTTTTTTTGTCATTTCATATTGCCTCTATAAACAAAATTGGAGGACGTTGAAATTTATTTAGAAGACAGAGAGAGAGAGAAATGATAAACAACAACAAACCCAGTAAAATCTCACAAAAGTGAGAGCCACATATTTGTTTTGTAAAAAATACTAGTAAAGTGGAAAAACGTAAACTTCATTTTGGAACATGCAAAAAAAGAATGTGTGAACTTCCTTTTAAAATGGGGGAGTATATAAAGATTTGTGCCCCCAAATGCTTTGAGTACATATCAATTTTTTTTAAATTCATGGTTTTGATTTGTACGAAATCAAAGTGGTGCATTAAACTTCATTCCCTTCTTACTGTCTATGGAGTTTTGCATAGGAAATGTAGCAATGCATTTAGGGTCTAACATAAACTTCTCTATTTTTTTTAGAAGGGTAGGTCTCTATACATCTTAACCAGACCCCAATGAAATTATGATGATACTGTTTTGTTTTTGCTGTTGTTGATTTGTGTAAGCATAAATTATTGGAGTATATAATTTTCACTAGCTATGCTGTTATTTTGTTAAATGTACTCCAGCTACTTTACATGTTCGCTCCTGCAATCAAGACAGTTTTTAATAGACAAGTCTTCAGAAGTGTTAATTCATTTCGAGTTAAACCACTTTCTGCACTTGCCCAGTTGAGCCAATATCCCTCAGATTCTTCTTCTAGTTCTGATGGAGAAAGTTCAAGCAGTAATGTCAACGGTTCTGGTTTAGTCCAAGTTTTCTCTGAAGACGGGGCTCCAGAAATTCTTTATAGATTAAGGAATCAGCCGAATTCTGCAGTAGCATACTTCCAACAAATGAAAGAGCGTGAGTTGCAGTGTGGTGTTGATACTTATGTGGCGATTATTCGGATACTTTGTCATTGGCGCATGGATATAAGATTAGATTCGATACTGTTGGAGGTAATTAAGTCAGAGAAAGACACTCTGGGTTTTGATGTGTCAGAATTGCTTGGAGCATTGATGGAGGGACTCGACGGAGAGAGCCCCGATTATATAATTCAGATTCTAGATGCTTTGGTCAAGACTTATGTGAGTTTGGGCATGTTTGATGAGGCCATTGATCTCCTATTCACAACAAGGCGGGGGTTTTGTCCACGGTTATCGTCATGTAATTTTTTGATGAACCGACTCTTTGAGTTTGGGAAATTGGATATGGTTGTGGCTATTTATAAGCAATTGAAGAGGCTTGGGTTCAACCCAAATGTTTACACTTACGGAATTGTCATTAAAGCACTATGCAGGAATGGGAATTTGGAAGAAGCATCGAGTATTTTTGGGGAAATGGAGGAATTGGGTGTGCGTCCTAATGCGTTCACTTACTCTGCATATCTCGAAGGCCTCTGCTTGCACAGGGGCTCTTCTCTGGGCAATAAAGTATTACAAGAATGGAAAAAGTTAAATAAACCCCTTGACGTATTTGCTTACACTGTCGTCATTCGTGGATTAGTCAAAGAAAGGAAGTTTTCGGAGGCTCACACTCTTTTACACGATATGGAAGGAGAAGGTCTTGTTTCAGATGACTATTCTTATGGGGCACTAGTTCAAGGTTACTGTGAGACAGGGAATAATACTAAAGCTCTGGATGTCTATGAAGAGATGAGAACAAAGGGTATTAAGACAAATTGTGTGATTATTAGCTCTGTTCTTCAGTGTTTGTGTCGAAAGGAGATGACATTCGAGGCTGTTGAAGAATTCAATAGGGTTAAGGAGCTTGGAGTTTTTCTTGACGAGGTTGTTTATAATGTTGCAATTGATGCACTATGCAAACTGGGAAAGATGGAAGAGGCTATGAAACTGTTAGATGAGATGAAGAATAAGAGGATGACTCCAGATATTGTGCACTATACCACTTTAATGAATGGATTCTGCCTAAACGGTAAACTATTTGATGCCTATACCTTATTTACTGAAATCCTGAACAGTGGACCAAAACCGGATGTTGTTACATACAACGTGCTTCTCGGTGGATTTTCTAGAACTCGTCATGTACAAGAGACACTTGACCTGCTGGAGTATATGAAGAGACAAGGTTTAACCCCAACTGGTGTTACATATAATGTAATTATTGAAGGTTTTTGTGTGGGCAATAAGGTGGAGGAAGCTGAATTATTCTTTGATAATCTCAATTGTAAAACCGAAGAAAACTATGCTGCCATGATAAATGGGTACTGCCAATCAAATAATACAAGCAAAGCCTACAAACTATTGCGAAAGCTGTTTGAGCAACGCAAATCTATAAGGAGAAGTTCATGCTTGAAACTGATGGCTTGCCTGTGTGTGGAAGGTGAATGTGATAAAGCTGTGGAACTATTTAAGGAACTAGTTTTAAATAAATATGACCCATGTACATCAATGTATAACTATATAATAGCTGCTTTATGCCGAGCTGGAGATATGAAAAAAGCTAGGAAGATTTTTGACATTATGGATTCAAGTGCATTAAAACCCGATGTAATTATTTATACCATGATGTTAAATGGTTATTGTAAAGTTAATTGCTTGCAAGAGGCACGCAATCTCTTTGCGAACATGTTGAGCAGGGGAATATCTCCTGATGTTGTCACGTACACGGTTATACTTGATGGTTATTCAAAAGGTTTAACAAGGGCCCAATCGTCATTCCATGCGGGGCGAGATAACAACATTGCTCATGCTATCTGGCATAAAATCAAGGAGGATAGGTTGAACGCTGATGTCATATGCTACACTGCTTTGATTGACAGTCATTGCAAGTCTAATAGCCTTGAAGAGGCTGTTCAGTTATTCAATGAGATGATTGATAGAGGCGTACAACCCGATAATGTTACATACACTGCCCTTCTATGTGGCCTTCATAGGCATGGACGTATAGAACATGCTGTTAGCTTTTGTAAAGATTTGAAGGATAGGGGAATAGAACCAGATGATCAAATGAAGTCAGTTTGCAATGTTTTGTTTAAGGCCAGAAGAGTACAAATCAAGCGTTAAACTTCAGGATCTCAATAATGTTACATGCACTGCCCTGCTATCTCGCTTCTATAGGCATTGACATATAGAAAGGGCTGTTAGTATTGTGAAGGAAATTATGGATAAGGGAACAGAGCCAGCCAGATAATATCATATGATGACATCGTCCAGTGGCTTGTTTAAGGCCAGAAGAATCCAAATCAAGCTTAAAGCCTCAGAGTCTTATGTGTAAGTCAACAAGTATGATTTCATTTCACATCAATGCAATAATATATTCAACATTTCTCCTTTGACATTGTCTGTATGTCTGTTTTACTAATACTCCACTCATTCCAATTAAAAATGTCTCGTTAAGGTATGACTTTTGAGTGTTGGCAAGGTACAACTGTTAAAAAAGTCATGAATCATATTTGCATTCATAAACATTTTGTGGATTATCTAAATGTACCATGGTTAACTTGTTTGTGAACTTTTTTTTGGAAATTCTTGGGATTTTAAATGGTTAATTATATCCGTTGGATGAAATATACTTCTTTATGGCCTTATGGAACAGAAAAGTTTTTTTAAGCTGAATGCTTCTTTTGGTAGAAGGGTAGCATTTGATACTTCTTAGAGTAAATTGACAAATGTCTCTGATTCTGAAAACACTTTCAGGGCTTCTTGGTTCATCTACACTGATGGACTTTGTGATTAATAATGCTCAATCAGGCTGCTGCTATCAAATTGGTGGTAATATGTCTTTCGATTAAACTTTGATTCATGTCTTGTGAAATTCATTTTTTGAGTAATATGTAATCCTTATATTTTGTTAAGTGTATAGTTACCAGGTAACCTTTTTTTTCGTGTGTGGAAAAATACAGATGGATATTCTGAAGTTTGAGCCACAACAATGTTCCCGAGTGTCACAAGAATTCTTCGAAAATAACAGGGTTTATCATCCTTTATGGCTATGCTGAGCTAGTTTCATTGTTAGCGCCACACGCGCGCCACAAGAAAGGCCGCCTCTTTGATTTGGATGCCTCAGCAATCACTATAGTAAGATTTTTTTCCGAAGAGAATTTCAATTTTCAAATGTTCCATCTGTCCTAAAATAAGGTTATACAATTGACTAACACGATTATTAAGAAACGTAAAGAAATGTTGAACCATAAAATGTTGTCTTTAAAAAGAATGTGGAACCTTTGTTTGGGACCAACAAATAAAGAAATGTGGGCTCTTTTTATGGGATTGAAATAACATATAAAATGATAAACATAAAAAAAATCAAAACCCTCTAATTTTTAAAAGCATGATTAAAATTTGTGGATCATTCATTTCAAACTGTATTGTATCGTTACTTATTTATTATTTAAAAGATAGAATGGAATTTAAAAAATCATTGATTAGTTTTATTCAATGCCCTTTAGCGTTTATCAAAACAATTTCATAGAAGGCAACGATAAATTTTACTCGTTGAGAACATTTTTGGACGCTTTTCTTGTATGTTTTTGACTAATATTGTAGTTATTGATGGGTTTTTTTTATATCATGCCTGCTTCAAGGTAAAAAATAAGAGGGGAAGCATGTGTTTGATGCCCAGAAGCAGAAATTGGCAAGTAGATTAAGCACCTCATGAGGCCATTGATTGGGTGGGTATGGACTTTGGACTTCTTTGGTCGATGCCTTTATGAATCTATAACTTTTGTTGATGCCATGCATTATTTTATTTTTTTTCTATCTTAAATTAGGCTTATGCAATTGTAAACTAGTGTTCTTTTTAGTTGGCAATCTAATATTTGTTCATCTTTGTCATGTTCTTTTTGATGCATTTCTTCTTATTTCATTGTTTTTCACGCATGCAAGTTATATTAAATACCGTGGACATTGTTCATTAAAGGTGGACATTGGTTTGGCTTTCAGGGTTTCGCTTGAACTCTTAACTTCTAGTTCCTTCCAGTTTCTTTCAATTTCTTCCAGTTTTTTCCAGTTTCTTCTAGTTTCTTCCATTTTTTTCTAGTTTCTTCCAACTATATTTATTTTCTTCAAATTCTTTCTACTTTCTGACAAATCACTTTAAAAAAATATATTATTATTATTATTATTACAACTATTATGTTCATAACTATAGTTTATAAAATATTTTATTTTTTCATCTCACTATTTTTATAATACACCTTCATTATTATTTTTTCTTCAACTTTTTAATATGAATAATACTATTTTTTGTATATTGATCTACATAAAAAATTAGGAAACTATTTAAAAAATTATGGATAAAATAGTTATGTACAATATTTTTTTAATCTAAATTTATATAAGATAAACATCAATATTTTAATCTAAAATATAAAATATAGAATGTGGTGGTGAGTACTACATTATGAAAACCAAGAAAAACTACATTTTGAAAAAGAAAAAATGACCCAGTAAGTGTAAAACAGAAATTCAACAACTAACATCGCCAATAATTAAAATACAAATAACAAAAAAGTTATACTTTCATTTATTTGATCTACTTTTTATTGTTTCTAATATGTAAAATAGTGTGCATATAAATATAAATAATCCAATCATTTTCAACAAAATCATATTGTAAAAACTATATTATTCAATCATTTTCAACAAAATCATATTGTACTACATGAATAATAATAATAATAATAATAATAATTTATAACAACAAGAATCAGAATGAGAATAATATAAAACCACTACATAAAAAATTTGTAAAACTTTTTTTTGATTTTTCCGGTTCCTTCCAGTTCCTTCCAGTTCCTTTCAGTTTCTTCTAACATCTATCGAGCTCTTTTTTTCCAGTACTAAAGAACAAACTCTAAATCAATATTGTGTTTGGTGAACAAATGTTTAAATAATTAAACAATATATATTGTGCTCGCTAAGCACACATTACATTGAAAAGAATTTGTTTTAAAAATCAGGAATAACTTTCCTTACTTTTTCACTAATCCGGAAACCACCCCATATATTTGTCATTGATTCACTTTTTTTACTCAGACAAAATCGTGCAATAGCATATATTCCCTCCAATCTTAAAAATCTTTCATGTTTTGATTTTTTAGTCAAACAGTTACTCATTTTGACTACAAATTGTGAGAAAAGCATATATAATTATAATTTAAATAATTCGATATAATTGGATTCGTCTTTTGATATAATATTTTGATATGTCAAATTTTTATATCATATTTTTATTTAAATTATGTTTAGTTTATGATGAAAGACTCTAAAAGACATGCATGATGGACCACATGCAAAGATATAAGTGATAGAACCCACCCTACCTACCCTCTTCGTAATTTTAGAAATAGTCAAAACTTCATTGTCTCCGTCAAACCATTGGGCTTCAAATAATAAACTTTTACAATAACCTGGTAGTCAACACAATATATATACGGACACGTACAATTATTTGGACGATATATAATTTCAACATATACTCCGTATACAATTATTTTCGTTCTAAAATATTTTACATTTTATGTAAAATGAAACAAAATTTCAACATTTTTAATATTCATCCTTGGTATTGAAATTAAAAACAAAACTTATTTAAAAATTAAGTTAAAAGTTCTATAAAATAATAAATAATGAGAATATTTTATTTTCTCAAATAATCAATCAAAACATCTAAATTATAAATAAAAGCTACTCTGTTGAAAACTAAGGCAGTACCTTGAGCAAAAAAGAAATAGATACTCTAATAAACTTTACAATTTGTACTATGAGCTATTTAGGAGTGTAAAATAGGAGTGCATGAATGTAAAATAAGAGTGCATAAGTGGGTGCACTTGACTCCACTTGGACCATTGTAGGTCCGCCCCTGTATATAATTATATTAATGCACGATGAATTATTTAAGGTAGTGTTTGGCAACTATGATTTCATTTCGATTCATGTATTTCAATTCCAAAATTTGAAATCCTGAATTTCAAATGATAAGGAGATGCACATGGATTTAAAACTAAGCTTTGTTATAAATGAGAAGAATTTGAATCAAATCCAAATTCAAAATTTGTAAGTTTTCCAAACATGGAATTTGAGCCAAATCCGGATTTGAAATCCAAATCCATGTTCCCAAACATACCATAAATGAAAACAGATACTTAATTAATTAATAGTTGACTTAATATTTTATTATAAAATGAAATGACCTATATTAAATTCAGTAACAGCCAAGTCTCTCAGGAACACCCATATCTCTCATCAATCTCTCCACTCGTCCTTCCACATCAACCAGCAATTTCTTTGCGGCCTGGACTTGGATTTTGTAACGTCCGTCAAGTAATGACATGCCTGAAATAATACTGTCACAACATGCAATGCATTCCCTTACTTTTTCTAAGAAATCATACATCCCTAAATACGCCGCCATTCTTCTTCTTCTTCTTCTTTAATGAATTGAGTTGAATTAAGAAACAATGTCAATTTATTGAATTGAATTGAATTAAGAAACAATGTCAATTTTGTTTAATTTATAGGCAGGCAGGCGCGCGCACACACATATATATAGTATTCGTTTGATCTTATATATATGAACTCATGCATGCATGCATGCATGCTCCTCTTAATTATATTGCACGTATTATTATCTACTATTAGTGATAGACGACCATGCACGCATAATCATTCTTTTAAAGCCAAACAAAACGTACAAAAAAATATAATATCGCCCATGCAAGTAGATCATTATTACTAGATTTTATCATTGTACAAATCCTACAATGCATCTTTTGACTATTATTTGATCTCTTTTTTCGGCCAATCGAAATTCAAAAGTGTTGGGCATTAATACTACTCCTAATTGTTGTAATATTGGTGATGTGAGTGTTTTATTTATTGGTCAGCTTCTATTCTAGTTTTCTAGTCCTAGCTAGTTGGGGTTGTGTGTTCTCCTTCTATATATATTATACCATGTACTCTGTTATCTATTGAATAATACTATTGTTTCAATATCTCAATATGGTATCGGAGCTACGGTTAGGTTTTTTCTTCCTCACCTTCCCACGGCTTAACCACCGTTACGTTCTTCTTCTTTTCTTTTTTCGCAAGTTGCCTCTTCGTCAATCATCATCACACAAAAATCTACCGCGCACAAAACCTCTGCCGCAATTGTTCCTTTAACCTCTACCACACAACAACTGCCGCAAGATCATATCCCTTCTCTTGCCCAGGCTCTGCCGCAACAATACGTAATGACCACTACAGTTAAGGACCCGTTTGATTCCCTTACTGGTGGCATGCGATTGTTCATCCGAAATCTACAGTCTCTTGTTCATAAATCTTGAGGATACAAATTATCTCTCTTGGTCCTCTACGGTTAAAGCTACCTTTGAAGCTCATCGTCTCCTTGGATATGTTGATGGCACAAAGACGCCTCCCACACAGTTGATTCTCGACGAGAAAGCTCCCGTCAGTGTAGACAAGCAACCCGTTTTAAAGGCAAATCCCGCATATGAACAATAGATGATCATTGATGCCCAACTTCGTGCCTCGCTTCTTGCTCTCCTCTCTCTGACTGTTCAAAACTTGGTCCATCTCTGTTCTACTGCTGATGAGATTCAAGATCACTTGCACCAACGGTATAATTAATTGTCGCACACTCGTATTTTTCAATTATATGAACAATTGCATGCTCTGCGCAAAGGCTAGTTAACCATGCAAGAGTACTTGGACTCTGCGCTCAAAATTGTGACGTCTCTGTCTCTTTTGCCAGAGAACCAATTCCTGAGCAGGATGTTATTCTCAGTGTTCTGTGGTCTACCTCATGAATATGCTTCCCTTAAACAAAACATTAGGACAAATATTGTCGGTCTTACTTTCAACACCGTGTCCTCGTGGTTGTTATCAGAAGAGCTTAATATTCGGATCGAGCAAAAATTAAGCCTTGAATCACCGCCTACTCCCTCCCCCGACGTGCACATAGCTCTCTATGCGTCCAATAATGGACAAGGCCGCAGAAACCAAGGCCATGGTCAGGGACGCTTTCTGAATATCCGAGGAGGAGGATGCTGGACCAATTGTGGCAGTGGTGGGTGCTTCCCGTCTGGTCATAGTCGAGGACCTCCACAGAATCCATATCTTATTTTCCAAATCTGTGGACGGTCTAATCATGGTGCCTGGTAAAGTTGGAACCGCTATGATGAGAGATTTTCTGGTGGACCTCCCTCGTCTCCATCTCATGATCATGCCTTGTACACAACTCACTTTGCAAAGTCAAATCAGAATTGGCACTTAGACTCTGAAGCCACTACCCATATATGTGACTTCTTATCTCTCAGGGTTGAATAATCCCACTACTTATCATGGCTTAAACTCTGTGTCTACAGTTGGAGAACAGTCTCTTCCAATATCTAATATTGGCTCAGGTCAAGTTTCCACACCTACAAGTATTTTCACCCTATCCAATCTTTTCCATGTCCCTGACATAAAAACCCATCCCTTATCTGTTCACCAATTCCCAACTGAAAATAACTACTCTCTTCTTTTTAGTTCTAACGACTTTATGGTTTTGAACAACCATACCAACCAAGTGATATACAAAGGCCCATGTGAGCAGGGTTTGTACACGTTATCAGCCAAATAAGTTTCTCTAGTTGCTAATGTCATGAAGACAACGTCCCGATAGTGGCACTATCGTCTTGGTCATCCATCCTTTCAAGTTACCAAGTTGTTATTTTCTA